GGAGAGGTCATAAGAGTCCAATGGAGGACCCAGAGACAGTGGAAAACCATGTGACTGGATGAGTCGCATCTCCAAGGAGAAAGAAATGGATGTTTCATCCACTCTGTTACATGGATAATGCCATTAATAGTGTAATCGTTGTGTGGATCCGTTGTCATTGGCTTAGAGAAATTACATTGGAAAAAAAATTTCAGAAGTGAAATCTCAGGGTCAGCTCAGTTTGTGTACGAATTGAAATGTACTTTGTGTCAGGGCAGCTGACAAAAACTTGTGCCGTTGTCTAAAAATAAAAGGGGCCTTCGGAGTGGTCGTAGAATTCTGGGTATTTAATAGAAGTATCTGAAGTCTCTCCTCATCTCTTGATTTTACTCAGTCACTTAGATCTGCTGGTGTTGGCTAGATGGCTCAGTAGGTAGAGTGCAAGACCTGCGGTCGAGAAGACCCGAGTTCAAATCCAATCTCAGACGCTTTCTAGTTCTGTGGCCTTCCCTAGCTAGTCACTTCACCTCTAATTGTCTCAATTTCTTCTGTAAAATGGGGATAGTAATAACATCTGTCTCAAGGAGTTGTAATGAGCATCAAAGGAGATCATACTTGTGAGAAGCACTTAGCTTAGTGCCACATAGTAGGCACTATATAATTGCTTGTTCTTTTTCCTCCAATTTTGAACGTTAAAGTTGTATTGGAGTGCTTTTTTTTTAAATTCCTTTTTTTAACCTGTCTTTATTATAGCCATACTTCTTAAAATGGAAAGCTTAATAAGTTTCAAGTTTGACTACACTTGGGAAGAGATCAATACGTTGTCATGACATCAACCTTCCTATTATAATATAATGTCTTGTGCTGCATTAGTGTGCAGTTAACAGTAATTTATTAATGTCTGTGTAACATACACATTTTGGTCAAAAACATGAGCACTAGGTGTGTATGACGTGGTCCTTCTTTTCCTATCTATGATTGTAGGACACCATAGACAGCCTAAATCCAGTTCTCAAGGATAACCCACAGCTTCTTGAGGAAGTGAAAGTCTAGGTTTAAAAAAAAAAAAAAAGGCTCAAAAGATTTTTATGCACAGTAATGATTTTAAACCTTTACAATAATTAACCCACAAATGTTTACGGAAAGTCTGTGTGTGCGGGGGGCCCTATGCTAAGCACTGGGATGTCCTGTTCTCATTGCCTTCTACCAGAAGAGTCAGCACGTACCAGTGTGGCCCAGCCCTAGCTAGCATTAAGAGGAAGAGCAGCTCAGGGGGCCAGGACGGGCCTCCTCTCCTGCAGAGACTCCCAGATGTAGAGAGGGGAGGGGAGGATCTTGGAGGCATAGTGGGGGAGCGAGGAGTAGATTGCTAGACTTAAGTCAGAAAAGCCCACCTTCAAACCCCTCTTCTGCCATGCCAGTCACAAGACCCCTAACTTCTCTGCACCCCAGGGAAAAGCCAGCTGAGCATCCTGGGTAAGGGATGGGTAAGAAGGTGAGAGCTCTGGAGGCCAAGCAAGAGTTTTTCTTCGATGTTAGGGGTAATCAGGGGTCACCAGATCATGTTTAGGAGACTAAGCTTCTAGAACATGACCTTGGCAGCCGTGTGGAGGGTGGATCGGTGGGAAGAAGACTGTTAGGAGGTGAGAAATGTTGTGACTCTAAAGAAAGATCAGTGAGAGATGCTGGGGTAGACCAGCCAGTGGGTGCCAGGAGTCCTGCTGGTGCAGCCAAGGGATCAGCACCCGGCTCAGAGCCTCCCCAAACCTCTCAAGATCTTGGTTTTGATGGGAATCGGTTGTGCATGAAATGAGGACTCATGTGTTGTGGATTTCGTTTAATATAGAGAATATAAATGAAAGTCCCATGGCATAGTAAGTAGAGCATTGGCTCAAAGCCAGGAGGACCTGGGTTCCAGTGTTGTCTCTCACAGTCTACCTTTGTGAGCCTGGGCAAGACCTCTTAGTGTTTGAGGCAGCTCTAAGCTCTGATTCACATTGGGAGAGGCCAAAATCACAGGTCCAGTAACTATCCCCATTCAAATAGCTGGCTACAATTAAAACATTATAATAGAGTGTTGATAATTTCATTAACATAATCATGGGCACATTATTGCCATGTTTGAGTGGCAGAGCTGATGGCATGGGAATAAAGCCACATGGGATTCTGTTAGTGGGAAATTAGAGAATACCCTACCTGTGTCTTTTCCTGATGAAGGGACCTTTTTTTTTCTCCCCAGGACCAATCATCCAGAGCCATAGTTAATTTCCCTTGAATGAAGCTGTTTTTATCAGATGAAAGTAGGCAAGGTGCCTTCCTAACCAGTTGCCACAATATATCAATGTTCATTTAGTTTCCTTTTATTTGTAAGTTATAGGTTTATCTACATGTGACCATCTAACCAGTGCAGTTTGCCTTCTACTGGCCATCTGATTCATTTCCATTTCTAAAACTGTAGAAGAACCATGAAGTTAGAGATTTAATCTAAATGGATATAAGCTTTCTACAATGATAAACTGAAACTATTGGTTTGTGGGAATATAGCACACACTTATAGAATGTCCAGTTTCATTAGGGACAACACAGTGTTGGGTTTGGGGGATAAAAAGCCAGAAGCGACCTTTCTTGCCCTCAGGGTTATGGGGGCTGGAGGGAGAGGCTGTTCAGATAAAGGGCCCTTCTGAAAATTTGAGATGGGCCAAAGCAGTGAAACAAAACAGCTGGACTGATCGCTTGAGTTTCCTGAAAGTAGTGCTACTGAGCTCAGCCTTAAAGAAATAGGAAATTTTGGAGATGATACGTTGGAGAATATTCCAGGCAAGTGTGATGGATTGTGCAGTGGCCCAAGGCAGCAGATGGTGTAGTGTTAGGAAAACACCCTGACTAAGCCCTGGGCATAGTGGGATAAAGCTAGAAAGTTAGGTTGGAGCCAGACAGTGGCAAGTCTTAAATGCCAAGGTAAGGAAACTGCATTTTGTCCTAGTGGCGGTTGGGAGTCATTGAACATTTTCAGTCTGGGGAGTGATTTGGTCAGGCCTGTGCTTTAACTGCTCACTTCGCTTGTGAAGAATGGGTTTGAGAAAGAAGACAAATTAGGGGCTTTTATAATCATGCAGGGAGCGGGGAGGAGCTTGCCCAGTGAAGTGGAGAAGAGACGGGGTAGAAGCAAGAAGTGATCTGTCTGGAGTTAGAATCGACAGGGTTTGGGCCACTGAATTAGGGAAAGGAAAATGCGGAAGATGACTTGGAGATTGAAGACCTGAATAACAGATTATAGTAGTTTCCACAACCCCAGTTGGGAAATATGGAAGTGGGTTTAAACTAAAAAGATGACATTTCAGTTTTGTTACTAAACTTTCCCCATATGGGGAATATGCTTCTCTTTCTGAGGTCACTTCTCTAAGACACTGTTTTGTGTCATGGATCCTTTTGGCGACCTGGTAAGGGCTATGAACCCTTCTCAGAATGATGTTTTTAACCCGAAACAAGCATGAAATAAACTGCAAAGGAAACGCATTATCTTGAAATACTGTTCTCAAAAAAAAAAATTATGTGTGTATTTTAAAGTTAATAGAACCCAGATTAAGAACTCCTGCTCTTCAGACCAATTCAGGTACTGATTGCTTCTTGAAACTTTTGCTAAGCCTTTCCCTCCTCAGAATGTTTTGATTTTTTATTTTGGAGCACTTTATTTATTGCTTCTTAAGACTGACTGTACCTATATATTATCCAGCTGCCTTCTGGAGAAAGGTTTTAACAAATTGGTTTGAGGAGGGATCTGTGAAATGCTGTGTATTTGGATATTGATTAGCAATTATATTTTCTGTCACCTTTAATCAGGAAACTCATTTTATCATTTTATTCTTGCAGAAAAATGTCATCCTTTTAAAACTTTTACTACTTTTTTGAGAGTTAGGACTGAATTAAATCTCATTTTAAAAATTCTACTTATTCTCATATACCTAGTACAAAGAAAGCATTTTCTTTATCCAAAGTCTATTGCTTTCATCGACGCAACTGTGTGTGTTCGTATGGATATATTATATTAAGATTATTTTGACGATAGCTTTTCCTGGCTTCCACAGAATAGACAACATGGTCATTTAGGGCACAGGCTTGGTAACTACAGGACCCAATACACCAAATTCAGAATTACTTCTCCAACCCTAATGTGTAGATGTGCACCTGTTGGTCTGACAGCTTTTAGACTGCCTATTCTTTTCATTTTCTTCCTAGGGAGGTATTTTGGATCAGTGGAAAGAACCATGACTTGGTAGCCAGATGTCATGGTTCAAATCCCACTTCTCTTGACACTTACCTGCTTGAATGACATTGGACAGGTCACTTAATATTCTTAGATTAGATGGCCTCCCTCTGACGGCCCTTCTTGTTCTCCTTTCTGATGATAGTTAGATGTGGTTTTTATTTGTTTTCAACCAAACCTTTGAATTCATTGCTATCAGGATTTCCACCTGAGGAAACTCCCATCTATTGCATGGTTGATTGACACCTCTGCTTCAATTTATAGTCTTAGAAAGTTGCCAAGTTGGCAGGTGTCAAGAGGCAAGGCTTGACAACCTGAGGCTACCAGCACTCTCACCCACTAGTGCCTACTACAGGAACCACCTGTTTTAGCTTTCTAATGTAAAATTCTTAAACATTAATTGAATAGTATGTGATTATTTATACAAGTAACATCAGAATCACTCCAAATCAGAAAAAAATCCCACTTTTCCAAAATATCTGGGAATTACCCTTCTTAAGTTTGCTTTTATATTTTTATATGTGTGTGTGTGTGTGTGTGTGTGTGTGTGTGTGTATCACATGAATAACCTGTGTATATAATTGTACTTCTTTCCCAAAATATCTGGGAATTAGCCTTCGTGTGTGTGTGTGTGTGTGTGTGTGTGTGTGTGTGTGTGTGTGTGAGATATCACATCAGTAACCTACGTATTCACTTTCCAATGCACTTCTAAATCATGACTTTGTCTGCTAAATTTCTCTGTATATTTCCTTTAAAGGTTCATATTCTTTAAACTGATATAGAGTGAGAGTATACAGACAAGATTCTGCCATCCAGTGGTTTACTGGTATAATTACTCACCATGAGCTCTTCACCCATACCATGATTGTTAGGAATGACCAGGTAAATATTTTAGCCAATATTTTTGAAGAGAGAATTTGGTAATTAAAACATTCTCTGCTAGTATATAATGCTTAAGTTAATTCTGGTTTTCATTTCTAGGTTTCTTATCATTGAAATGTTCTAAAGTATGTGTACTTTTCTATATTAAGTTTACTTGTCACAGAAAAATTGTTTACACTTGCCTAATTGAATAAGTTTCTGAAATAGAGGAACTAAAATCTAAATTTATCAGTGTTTTGAGTTTTTCTGTCCATCCAGTCAATAGATTCTTCATTTTCCAAAGAATTGGCTTAACTTTATCTAGTAATGAGAGTTTTAACAAGTACTATAGTACTTTTCGGAATAAAGATGTTGGTTTTCGTAACAAGTTTTATGCCAGTTACTAAGGTCACAATGGAATGTTCATTTGATACATTAAACAGCAAACTACGTATCTTAGCTTAAGATCTCAGGCATATCGTGGACATATTCATTCACACATGGAACCTCTTGCTTTTCTGTAATATGGAAATTGTGTATTTGTCACTTTACCACCTAGAGTAGTAGGAAATGAAGAGAAGTATATCATATAAATAAATGTCTGAAAATAAAAAGAAAAGAATGGTTTGTTCTATTATCATTTACAACTTTTTGTTGTAAAAGTACTTAGTGATATTTAGATGAAAGCTACCCTAAAGGTGAGTTGCACATAAAGGATTTTCTTGGAGAAACAATTTTGCCTCTGAAAATACCATAGGTAGAAAGTTTTGAGGGCCAAAGAATAATGGTTTTCTAAGCAACTAAGTGGTTAGAGAATAGGGCACTAGGCCTGGAGTTAAGTTGTTTCTTGTTGTTGTCCTTCAGTCATATCGGACTCTTTTCATGAAGAGTGCCACGTGGACCATAGTATGTCCATATGGACCTTCTGTCCTCTGCTGTCTCTCAAAGTCTGTCCAAGCTCATGTTGGTTGCTTACATGACACTATATACATCTCATTCTCTGCCCTTCCCTTGTGTTTAAGTGTTCAAATCCATCCTCAGTTACTGACTGGGTGACCTTGGGCAAGTCAGTTAAGCTTTGTCTCTGTTTTCTTACTTATAGATAGGGATAATAACAGCATTTACTTTGATGATCAAATGAGATAATAGTTGTGTAAAGTGCTAAGCATGTTAAGGCTTGCCTGGTACATGGTAGTTGCATAAATGCCCATTATTATTATGTTTTCCTAACTTAACGTTTATTTTTTTATCTTTTAACTGTTCCCATTCTTTCATTTCCTTTCAAATTGGGTCTTGTTCATTTTTTCTCCTTTCTGGTGTATCTCACCTTTTCACTTCTAATCCTCTGTTAGTTTTTTACTATTAATTTCTTATGTGAATTTTTTCTTAACACTTTGCTTTTGTGCCTTTGATTCTTATCTATTTTCAGAGTTTGCTTGGGACTAATAAATTTTCTTTAACTCTTGATTAGATGTTAGGAAGAGTTTTTGTGCCAGTTATTTTTCAGTCATGTCCCGACTCTTCATGACCCAATTTGGGGTTTTCTTGGCAAAGATCCTGGAGTGTTTTGCCATTTCCTTTTCCAGCTCGTTTTACAGATGAGGAAACTGAGGCAAAAGAAGTTAAGTGACTTGCCCAGGGTCACACAGCTAGTAAGTGCCTGAGGCCAGATTTGAACTCGTGAAGATGAGTTTTCCTGATTCTAGGCCTAGAGCTGTATGCACTAGCATGATACCTACATGTCTAATTAGAAAGAGTAGCATTATACCATATTGCTATTCTGTCAGAAGATTGAAACAATAATATTTGTTTGAAATTATTAAGCCTTAGAGCTTGTTATATTTTTCTTCCTGCAAACACCAGATTAAATGTCCTTCTTGATGTTTTTTCCAAGTATAATAATGGTAGAAGGAAAGAACCACTAACAACTCAGTGCTCAGTAAATTCTATTTAAATGCTTATTGTTCTCCTATTTTTTCATGAACCAGGTACTAGAACCACAGAATGTCGATCCTTCTATGGTTCAAATGACCTTTCTTGATGATGATGTTCACTCTTTGTTGAAAGGAGAAGACATCGGCATCTCGTCACGCTGTAGGTCTCACTCTACTCAAAGTAGCACCACTGTTGACGTAAGTAGACTATAGCCAGTGGGTGATTATTCAGTGTTCTCTGTTTATGCTTAATCAATGTATGTGCAAGCATGCCATGTGGATTCACCATCATCTTACTATATTTAGGGTCATTCTATACGTGCTCAAGCTAGTAGCCCAAGGCCAGCTATGAACTCCCAGGCTACAGGGCCCACACAGAATATATTCCAGCAGCAGCAGCAGCATCGAAGTACTCGACTGACCAAGAGGAGGGGCTCAGATAGTAGTGGGCCAGATGAAGAGAAGATGAGGGAAGAGAAATGTGGTTACCTAGGCTGTGGAGGTAGGAGGAGTACACTCTATCTTTTTTAGAGAGTCATAAGGAAGAATAAATAAAATAGAAATGTTAAAAACTGCTTATACTGTATTGGTATCTTAAAAATGATGTTTTTCTTTTTGTAGAAAATCTTAAAAGCAAAAATAAACACTTTCTTAACAAAAGAAGAAAAACTGAAGATGATGAAAAGAAGCTAAATATAAAAAGACTTCGAACAGACAATATGTCCGACTATTCTGAGTGCAGCGACTCAGAAACTTCAAATAAAAGAATGACAGACCCACCTTATAATCCAAATGCTGGAAATGAGGTGAACAAAAACAATTCTAAGATCAACGGAGATGAAGGAAAATCCCAGCGTAGGGAGGGAGCAGAGGAACAAGCAGTAAATAGTCAGTCTCTTTGGGGTCAAATACAAGAAGCTAAGAGACAGGAAGAAGCAGAAAATCTCAAGCCGCCCAGCTTTGAGCTGAAAGAAAACCCTCTTCTCAGCACCACAGAAAAGATTATGTTTTATGATCCAAATGTCAGTGATTTGCATAGTCAGGAGCGCAAAACAGAGAGAGCACATACTATGGAATTATTACCGAAGGAGCAATTTGTGTCCAAACCACCTACACCAAAATGTGTTATTGACATTACAAATGAAACCAGTTCAGAAAAGGTGGTTCAGGAAAACTCCACAAGGATCTTTGGTTTTCAGGCACTTCAGAAAATGGAGTCTCTTAGTAGTGACTCAAAACTTTTGTTTTCCAATTCAAAATTTTTAGAAACAAAAAAACCAGAACCTGAACAGAGCTGGGTTAGTAGCATGGTACACAAAATGGATTTAGCATCACCTGTTCTTAAGAACCCTTTTGCCATAAGTGAGCCTCTGATTATTGAAAAAGATAAAGATTCATTTTCAACATATCGCACTCCAGGAAATGCAGCTGAAGACCACAAACCGCATAAACCAAACCCACCTCCAGAGATTCCGAAGCCGAAATTCCCTCCTTCAGGAGAAAACCTCAAACCAAAAGCCAATACCATATTTGATGTTATTCAAGCCAAATTCCCTCGTAATACTGATTCTACGAAATCTAAGGCCGGCTTCTCAAACAGTGGTCATGCCGCTGGAGAGAGAAGGTTGACTCATAAAACACAACATGATTTACCAAGATCTAGTTTTCATCCAGTTTCGACTCGTGGCTTAGAAACCGCCAAGAACCCTCTTATTGATAAAAATGACCATTTCACAGCTTACAGAGATCCCGCACTCGCTGGACAAGAGTCAGGAACCAATCACGTTCCATCATTCTTAAGCCAGCACACTTTCCCTCATCATTCTTCATCCCACAGGACTTGTCACAATCAGCCTACTTTAAGTGCCCCTACCCACTTGGCAGCTGGGTCTTCAAACCAAAGCCAGTTGCCTTCTCTTAGTCATCCTTCCAATAGTTCCGCCCACTCTTCTGTTCACCCTCACATGGCTTCGACAGCGTTACCTGGAGTGCCTCCAGCCTCCTTACTAGGTGGCCCCTCACGAGTAGAGGCTGCTCACTCCAGCCACTTAGCGATAGCTCACCACCAGCACCAGCATCACCACCACCACCACCACCAGCAGCAGCCGCAGCCGCAGCAGCAGCAGCAGCCGCAGCCGCAGCAGCAGCAGCAGATGCTACAGCATTCATCACCTCATCTCCTTGGACAAGCACATCCCCCTGCTTCTTCCTATAATCAGCTCGGACTCTACCCGGTTCTTTGGCAGTATCCAAATGGGCCCCCTCCCTACACGGCACTCAGCATGCCCACTTCTAAATGGCTCCAACAAGAAAATGCAGCGAATGCTGAAGCCTCCTTGCGGGGGGTAAGTGTCACGTTGATGGTTTTTGTGATTTGACTTAATGGATTAGGATCATGGCAAAGTGACTGTGAGTTTATGCACAGCAGTAGATAAGGTTCACATGGAATCTTAGAGAAAAAAAGGACAGTGAAGATGGTGTAGTTTGGCCACAGGAAACACCAGATATGGGGTTTTATAGCCTGCTGTAAAGAAACCTCTGAGATCCTAGCCCAGTACCCTATTGAGTCAATGGAAAATGAAGAGCTTGTTGTTGGCTCCTGCGCCGTACTGTATCAAACTGCCTCCTTAAAATGGTCTAACTTAGGGGCAGTTAGGTGACACAGTGGATAGAGCACTGGCCTTGAAGTCAAGAGGACCTGAGTTCAAATCCGGCCTCAGACCAAACACTGGACACTCACTAGCTGTGTGACCCTGGGCAAGTCACTTAACCCCAATTGCCTTAAAAAAAAAAATGGTCTAACTTAGGTAGGCCTATTTTAAAGGTCCCCATGATGTGTGACCCAGTGAGTCCAAAGCCATTTTCAACCTAGCTACACAGACCCCATTGAGTTAGTCTGTATAACTGCTAAATCCTTTGCTTATGCTTAGAGGAAAATGACCTGTGTAGATGAGAGGGGACTGGGCAAAGGTCTTACTCAAATTCAGAGTTTGAAACCATAGGCCAAATGACCACATTGTGTGAAAGTGGAAACTAAAAATGAGAAAGAAAAATAGATTAGTAAAGAATGGTTTCATTTCTGTGTGTGTGTGTTTTATTGGTAGTATTTTTAAAAGTAGGGACTAAGCAAAACAAATTTTATGTTGCATTAGTTATAAAAATTAAATCCAACAAGTATTATTTGTACGGTGAAGATTGCATTTTTATGAGACCCACTCCCAGCCCCAGGACCTTGTTTTTGTTTTTTTTTAACTTAATATATATGTATATTTTAATGTTATAGTAAGGAATAAAATTTTATTATGACTTTTTATTTAACAAATTCCTGTCTCCATCATACGAAGTTCAAATATTTTGGTTATAGGTCATTTTAGTACTGGGCATCCAGAGTAGAACCATTCTTAAGATGATTAGATTTTGTTCTGTTTTGTTTTTTGTGTTAAATGGCCATACCATATCTTTCTGCTTTCTTTTTCAGTTTCATATTGTTTTAGTACTAGAATCAAGGCACTTAAACTCTGACCTCTGTCTCTTCAGCTGTAAAATTGAGGGGATTAGAAATGATAGGCTCTAAAATCTCCCAGTTCTCTGCCATTCCTCTTAAAAGTTATCATTTGGAGAACCAAGTGTCAGTTACTCAGCTTGACTTGGCATCACCCTGGATAGAGTGAACCAGATTTGTGAACTAAACATGTTGCCAATTTACTCACTGAATGATTGACACAGAAAGGCCAGTGTGTTTTCTTTTTTTTCTAGATATGTGCTTTATGTGTCTGGAAAAATTAATTCGCCTTTTAATTTACTTGGTAATAGAGTGTAGTATACAGGACAGTAAATTAGTCTCATTTTCATTCTGAGTTTGAAGGTACATTTTTAAAAATAATGTAAAATGCATGCAATATTAAAAGATGATTTTAAAGACTCGGAGTGACAAATGACAAACATGTTCATAGTTCTTATTTCTCTTGAAATGAGAATTCCTATGAAATACTTTTTAAGTACCAGATAATTTTATGAATTATGTAGTTTTGAGTGTTTGAAAATCTTATAAACTGTGTCTTCTCTGTATGAGTGACAGTACTTAATCTATTATTTTACCCTTGGTTCAAATTAAAAAGATTTTTACAAGTAAATATTTTATTATCAAATCTCTCAGTGCATGTGGCAGATCCGTTAGGCACAAGATCTTGCTGTGCACATGATCTGTTAAAGTTTATACTCTTTTGTATACATACTGCTGTTTCAGACCTACTCTTCTGCTGTGTTTAGCTTCCTGTGGTAACTGAAGTTTGATTTGTTTTTTGTAATAGAACACTCCCAGTCCTTGGTTACATCAGCCCACCCCCGTGACCTCTGCTGATGGGCTTGGGTTACTGAGTCACATTCCTGTCAGGCCATCCAGTGCGGATCCTCATCGGCCCCTTAAAATGACAACTCATCCTAGTCCACCGTTGTCAAAAGCGTTAGTAGATCATCACAAAGAGTAAGTTTGCCAGTGCTTAAGACTTTTAAATACCTTGTGTTTATGTGCTTCTTTTTTCCAAGACATTTTAAGTTAATACTATAAAGTTAGACTTTGAAAAAGTTCAGTTCCTTCTGTTTTAATTTACATTCTGATTTACTGGGTACCATTATGAGATGTGTCAAGAATGTTTGTACTGAAATGACAGCTTATTTTTATACCACATAGAAACTTTTATGTAAGAGAAAATGATTAAAGAATGTTCCATGTCTGGTTTTCCCCTCGCAGAGAATTGGAGAGGAAAGCTTTTATTGAACCTCTCAGGGCTGTCGTTTCCATGCCAGTCAAGAATGATTTGGATCGAATCCAGGTTGGACAAGACAGTCACTTACCGAGACCTTTTGTGGATTCAATGTTGAGTCAGTTCCAGAGGCCAGTTCAGGATACTGGAGAGAGGATGAACAAGTACAAAGAGGAACCCCGAAGGGTCCTCCAAGAAAGTGTCGAAGTCTCTCCCTTCACGACCAAGATGAAGACTCTGGAGGGAGAGAGAGAGAGCTATTCCAGAATCACACCTTTGTCCTCTGCCAGCCCGATAAGCCAAACCACCAAACAAGACAAAGACGGGGACCGCTCTGTGTCAGAACTGTATAGTATTAAGCCCTCTGCACCTCAGAGTAACTATTTCACCACCATATCCAGCACCGTCGTGAATGAACCACCACGATCCTACCCATCCAAAGAAGTCTCCGGTCTGTTCACCGATAAGCAGAGTAACAACCCCTCAACGGTAGCCAGTCCTCAAGTCCTGACTTCATTTATGTCATCACTTTCAAAGCCCCCGCCGCTGATTAAACACCAACCAGAAGGCGAAGGCATGGGAAGCAAGCTAGCAGAACAGCTTCCCCAGCAAATGCCGTCTCACTCCGTAACTGCTTTTGGAAATGACTGTCGGAGTCCTACCCATTTGACAGTTTCTTCATCAAATCCAATCCGGAGTATGCCTGCATTACATAGAGCACCAGTTTTTCATCCACCAATCCATCCCAGTCTGGACAGAAAGGAAAGCACCTATAGCAGCCTTTCTCCTCCCACCTTAACTCCAGTTCTGCCAGTAAACGCTGGGGGAAAAGTCCAGGAATTACAGAAACCTCCAACTCTAGTACCTGAGCCAAAAGACGCTCAGGCGATTTTCAAGAATGCTTCTGAACACAGTTTGTCTGAAATGTGGAGATCTAATAATGCCCCTGGCAGTGATAAAGTGAGCTGGCACGTGGAGAAAAGCATTGGAAAGGCACCGGTTGCCACAGCGTCTGTCATTGTGTGTCCCCCTTCAAGTGGAAAGTATGAGAGCGTGCCAGCGATGCAGCCGGCTCCCAAGGAGCGAGGTAGTGAGAGATCTTCATTTGGGGTGAGTCCAGCCGATGGCTGGAAACCAGTGGAAGCCCGAGAGGTTGGGAGAGTTATTCTTCCCAATTCAAACTTGGCCCTTCCTCCCACCCACTACGAGAAGAACTTTGAGGCTGCCCCCAAGGGCCGAACGTCCAGCTCCATCATCAAGCCTGCAACCCCTGGTTTATGTAGCACCAAAAAGAACCTGACACCAGTCGCCACCACCACCGCCAGTGCCCCCAGCTGGGGTGCTTCAGAAGTAACATTTTCGTTTTCTAGTACAGTTTTGACCCCCGCATCTTTACAGTGTATTTCTTCAAGAAGTGTTGTCCAGCCAACGACTCATATACAGGAATGCAGAGTCAGCACCATAATTTCAAACACCGCGGTCACTAGCAAGATAGGCTGGGAGGCCCAGCCCAGCTCTGAGTTCTCCAACACGCCTGATTTTATCCACTTAAAAAAACATAAGGCTGTAATGGCTGCAACTCAGTTTAAAAGTGGTAGTGGCAACGAGGCTGAGCCTGATGCTGGAAGCAGCCCGCCATGTTCAGCTCCCACTCCCCTCGAAAGTCCTGCCACCTGCAGTATGGCAAACAAGGTGAACACTGTAGGCAGCGGGCAGAACTCCCAGACCAGTCAACCCAACTACCACACCAAGCTGAAAAAGGCCTGGCTCACCAGGCATTCAGAGGAAGATAAAAACAGCAACAAGATGGAGAGTTCAGAAAACACCGTATCAGAGATCATTAAACCATGTTCAGTCAATTTAGTAGCCTCCACATCGAGTGAGATACACAGCAGCGTGGAGAGTACCGTCCTGGAAGACAAACCTGCCAAAGAGGATAAAACCAGCAGAAAGAAGATGAAAAGGTCTTACGAGTCTGGCTCTGAGAGCGGCGGAGACTCGGATGGAAGCGAGAGCAAGGCTGAGCAGAGGACCAAGCGCCAGCCCAAGCCGACCTACAAAAAGAAGCAGAACGATTTGCAAAAGAGAAAGGGGGAACTCGAGGAGGAAGCAAGGCCTAACGGGGTTCTTGTCAGAAGCTCCCGAGAGAAGAATAAGCTCAAGCTGCCAAGCAACAACAACAACAACAACGGTGAGTCCTTCACCTTCTGGCTGGGGGTGGGCGGGACTGGGCAGCCAGACTGGGGGCGGGGGGGCCCCCCCGAGCTCTGTGTAGGAGCCTGGCCCCGCCCACCTTGTCCTTTGCCTTGACTCACTAATTCCATAGGGCAAAGCAGCCCTCTTGTGTTGATGGGGCCCGTGTGCATTGCCCAGGGTCCCATGGCGAATGACTGAAGAACCCTCATCATGTACTACCAAGGTGCATTTCCTATACCATGGTTCAGGAGAAGGGAAATGAAAAGACATTACTCCCTTTCTTAATGAAAAAAAATGTGTTTGATGTTAAGTTGGTCCAAATTTTCATCTGTGTTGTTCCTGGAAGTTGGTGTTGCCCAATATGGCGACGTGATGTAGTTTTCTTTGACCTATAAATACTTGGTTTAAAAAAAAAAAAACCTGACATTTAACATCATAGTTAGCATGTTTAGAGCTAATGATTTTGCTGAACCATTCTTGATATGAAAAAAGATTTTTAGTTCGAATGTACTCTTGGCATTAGAGAGAATTTTAATTATTTGTGATTAGGAAAATACTTTTCATTGACAGGGCAAGCTGAATATAAATTATAGCTGGCATTTATTGATAAGTGTTTCTATGCATTTTTACTCCTAATTTCATTAAATTTAGCTTTAAAAAAGAAGGAAGAAAGTTGTGCTTGATCATGCAGACATGTGCTTTTTTGTGGTACTGTGTTTGCACAACTCAGCCATCCATCTATGTGCAATGTATATAGCAAGTGTGTGTGGAGACTCAGTGCTTCCAGAAGCAATTCCATGTATGAAAGCTCCTATTGGACCTTCTCAATGAATGTGGGGTCTTCACACATAATTCTGCAACTAGAGCTTGAAAAACAGAGAGCCAGGGGAGTGTGAGACATAGAAAAATCTGAAGGAGACAATTTCACATGGAGTCACAGAAATACGGTATTAGACAATGAAAGAGAAAAGATGTCCATTTATTTTACCACTTAATCATAAACAGTTTTTATTATTATCTTACTGGGTCATCTGCTTTTTGTTTCATATCCCCAAAGGGGTTAAAAGTTCCAGGTCAGAGATGAATTTTTTTTTAAAGCAACTCTCCAAAGTCTTCGATAAGTATCTATTGAATGGAATGGAACCCTAGATTTGACCTTCACATATTTAATGTTTAAAAAACACACCATATGTGTGAAGACTGTTGTGCTGTATTTTGTACTTTTGTTGTTAAGACTGGATATTGTTTTTGTGTTTGTCCCCACAGACTTCTGAGACAAAGTCAAATTAGAACTGTTTGCAAGAAGACATTGATGTGTCCATAGTCAAATTCTTAATTATTTGTCCCTTTCTGGAGCCCAGTTAAGCTTTCCTAAGCCATGGTAGGCCTAACTAAGCAAAAAGCAGTTTGAGGGCAAGAACTGAGTGCAGAGAGAGAAATTGGGGGGGGGGGGGCGGGGAGGTTTGTACATGCACCTTTATAATCTCCAAAACCACGTGAACTTTGATTTTTTTATCTCCTATCTGTTATCTTCATTGTATTTCTTGCCCCTTTTTACTTGTTCTGGATTGCATTCTGTGGTCTGAATGCTTACTGAACTTAATCTAATAGCTGTGTCCACTAAATGCATGTCATTCATTAGTGAAACGAATGTTAACATTTTCATGTCTGTAATTTTTTTTTTTTTTGGTTGTAATTTTTTTTAAGAAGATAGAGAGTAAGAGGCTGGACTCTTTGCAGTTTAAATGAGGGTAGGGGGAAGGAGGGGGGACACACGATAGGGCTTAGGAATTTACTTTCGCTTCTGTCCTAGTTCTTGAACCAGAACTGCTATCTCTAAATTTTTGATGTAAGTAGACTGCTAGAATTTCAGTTTAAAATCTAAAGAGTAAGGAGTTGTGTGGGGCAAAAGTACACAGCATAAAGGAATGGATAAGCATGTACTGGGACAGTGGGTCAGTGGCTTGAGCAGCAGACCTAGAGTCAGAAAGCCCTGGGTTGAAATGTGGCCTTGGACGCTTACTAGCTTTGTGATCCTGGGCGAGTTATTTAACCCCTCTCCTGTAGAATAAAGATACTATCACCTTTCTCCCCTGGTGATTGTGAAGATGAACTGAAGTGTTATTTTTAAAGTACCCTTAAAACACTGTCTGAAGGGTTTGCTAGTGGTATCATAGTCACCTTTAACACTGAAGGGATCTTACAGTTTCAAAACAGATACCTTTCAGAATTTGTGTATGACCAGTAAGTGCCAATGGATAAGAGCTTTGGGAGAAAGGAAGTACCCCTTAAAAAGGAAAGTTTATTTTAGACACAAATTTGTACACACTTCTTTTTTTTTTTAATTTATTTTTAGTTTTCAACATTCACTTCCACAAGATTTTGAGTTCCAAATTTCTCCCCATCTCGGCCCTCCCCCCACCCCAAGATGGCATGTATTCTTAATACCCCTTCCCCCAGTCTGCCTTCCCTTCTGTCTCTCCCCCTCTTCTCTTATCCTCTTCCCCTTCAGTTTTTCTGTAGGGCAGGATAGATTTCTATACCCTATTTCCTATATATCTTATTTCCCAGTTGCATGTGAAAACATTTTTTTTAAAACTTCTGTTTTTAAAACTTTGGGTTCCAAATTTTCTCCCTTTCTCCCCCCCACCCACCCTCATCGAGAAGGCAAGCAATTCAATACAAGTTATACATGTGTAGTCATGTAGAACACTTCCACAGCAGTCATGTTGTGAAAAACTAAGTATATTTCCCTTCATCCTATCCCGCCCCCCCATTTATTCTATTCTCTCTTTTGACTCTGTCCCTCCTTAGAAGTGTTTGCTTCTAATTACTCCCTCCCCCAATCTGCCCCACACTTCTGATAAAAAAGGGAAAGAAACTGAGGAAGCACAGATTAAGCGTTGATCAGTCACACGAACATTTTAATACCAAAAATGAGACATCGCTCGGAAGCAGAGACTGGATTGTTCTTTTTTTTTTTTTTTTTTTTTTTTTTTTAGGCAATTGGTGTTGTGACTTGCTGAGGGTCACACAGCTAGTAAGGGTCAAGTGTTTGGTCTGAGGCCAGATTTGAACTTGGGTCCTTCTGACTTCAGGGCCAGTGCTCTATCCACTGCACCACCTCGCTGCCCCTTGGATTATTCTTATGAATGGAAACAGGGCTTCATCAGTCTGTCTTCAGTAAAGGTTCTCTTGCCTTTTTAAAACTTGATGGTTACAGTGAAGTCTCCCACCCTGGAGATCACATTTGTTTTTTCATTTGTACCATTGGTTCCAAATCTCTGAAGTAGTGTGATGAGGCTGTGTTCTCCAAGAACTCTTACTAGACAGATCCTTTTTGGTGAGACGTGGAATATCTCTGGGCCCGAGCTTCCTCATTTGTGAAGTGAAGCTTGATGATAATACTGTTCCTGCCTCCTCCTAGTATCGTTGGGAGGACAGCTCTTTGTAGAGCATCATTCAGATGTTATGATCATCGCTTCTCCAGTTCTATCTAGATACCAGATGTCTAGTGTTTACCAAAACCTTAGAGGCAGAAAGGACCTCAGGGACCAGCTTATCCAATTCAGTATCTGAACAGGAATCCTCCTCGGTAGCAGCCCATAAGGGAAGAACCCACCCTTCTTTGGAGTGCTTTAATTAGTGCTCTCCAAAGGCAGCCCAATTCTATTTTGAGGTGGCTCTTACTCATTGCTCCACCAGTAGGATTCCTTCTCCATCGGATAGCCCTCCAAACACTTGGAAACAGCTCTCTCCTGTCATCTCCATTCTTTTCAGGTTCCTCCGCCCCCTTTCCTTTAGCTGAGCCTCATTGCTCTCATGGCACATCATCATGCTTGTCCTTGCCGCCTTCTACGCGTTCTTTACGTTATCCAGTTCGTAAAAGAGGTGCCCAGATCTGAACACAGTCATTTCGATGTCATCTGACCTGGCGATGTGTAGTAGGACTATCACTTCCCTATTCTCGGGTGAACTCCTGGTCTTGGTATAGGCAATGAACCCATAGCTTTTGGACTTCCCTTTCACCCTGCTGACACGTGTCAAGTTTTCAGCCAGCTAAGCCCCACCACCCCCTTTTACAGATGAATTCCTGTCCAGACACACTCTCCTCATCTTATATTTACAAAGTTAACTGCTGTCCAACTGGCTAGCCTGTAGAAGTCTTTCTGGATATGATTCTTTGGTCCAGCATGTTAGTCGCCCTGCCTGCAAATTTAATGAGCATATACCATCAATTATATTTAGGTTTCAGTAAAGATACTTCAAGGTAACACTGTTTGCTTATGACAATAGTCTGGGTCACTTAATCATTTGGCTTTGAATCCACCTCTTTGTACTGTCATTGATCTAGCCCACATCTTTCCACCTCGTACATGAAGTGGGACATGTCAAATGTTTAGCTCATATTTAGGAAACTAGCCATCACACTCCATTGGACAAGCAACCCTGTCAAATGGAGAAGGGACGTTAACCCGATTCTGGATGGAGCTGTACTGACTCTCTGTGATTACCACTTCCTTTTCTTTTCTTTCTTTCTTTTTTTTTTTCAAGGCTATTGGGGTTAAGTGACTTGCCCGGGGTCACACAGCTAGTAAGTGTCAAGTGTTTGGTCTGAGGCTGGATTTGAACTCAGGTACTCCTGACTTCAGGGCCGGTGCTCTATCCACTGCACCACCACTTCTTTTCTAACGACTATTGTTTAGATTTTGTTTTCTACCCTTTACCACTGAGGTATTATTTGTAAATCACATAGTTGTGAGTCTGGTTCCTGGTTTAGATGAAAATTAAATTATATAGTTAATTTCTTTCACTGAAGTTAAAATGGGAGATCCAGATAACTGGAGACGTGTTGGGCAAATTAAAAATCTGTCAGTAGTAAAGCATTATTGTTATGATTCTGAGTTTTAAGATCTTGAGTATAGATTATGAATAGATAGGGTGCTGGTCCTGGTGACAGGAGGACCCGAGTTCACATGTGGCCTGGGACCACTTACTAGCTGTGTGACCCAGAGCAAGTCATTAACCCTGTTTGCGTCTGTTTCCTCATTTGTAAAAAATGAGCTGGAGAAGGAAATGGCAAACCACTCCAGGATCTTTGCCAAGAAAACCCCAAAAGGGGATCACAGAGAGTCAGACATGACTGAAAAACAACTAAACAACAACAGTATAGGCCATGAAAGAATTCTCAATTCAAGGTTGAATGATGAAAGGAAATGACACCCAGTTTGTACTAACCCCATAGAAAGGCTTTGACAGCATTTTCAGTGGTTGATCCTCAGCTGCACCTCAAGTAGACAAATCCAAGTGGCTCCTTGCCATAGGTTAGAGGCAGCAGAGAAGAGCACGAAATTAGAGGAAAATCCAGGCACCGTGCCTAGAAATGCTAACAACTGGGGCCTCTATTAAACGGGCCACCCTGTAGTTTAAACGCCATGCTTCCTGTATTAGGAAGCTTATTTTTTTCCACAACTGTGCTGTTCCCTATAACAGCAGATGGAGAAAATTCAGTCAAGGCTATAGCCAAGACAATTCAGCTTGTGTGAAAAAGTCAGCTCTTCAAGTTAAACCCCTCAGGATTGTGATATTGTTTTGCTCTCCATTATGAATGAACTTTGAAATCACAAGATTCAGAAAATATAGCTTATATCTAATGGGAAACGTCTGATAAGTTTCAACAGTGACATTGAAAAATTTATCTTTTTGTTTTTAATTCAAAGACATCTTTAATGGACCTGACTGTACTTAATCTGAGGAAGATGTAGTTATTTGGCAAATGTTTTGGTATTGATTAGAAATCAAAGTGGCAGATTTGATAGGTATTTAAAACTGTTGCTTTCCCCCCCCTTTAAATACTAGAAAATAAAATATTTATGAAGTGGTTGTTTTGTTTCTAACTTATTTAGGATGTTTTCATTCTTTCTGCAGTTAAAAAGATAGTAATAATCTGGATAACACTAAGGTAGCTTTCAGAAACTATCATTTTTGTCATCTTTTGCTTCCACTGATTTCCGATGGATCACACATAAGAGGAACGAGGCAAAAATACCTAAGTATACACATATGTATTTCTTTGTAGGTTTTTTTCTTTTTTCTTATCCCTTCTCCTTCCATTTGTCTAACTAAAACCATCTTCTATCCTAAAAGAGTTAATATAACATTAGGAAAGTGGGATCGAAACACATGGTTTTTGGAATCAGAATTCTCTTCTAACTTTTAAAAAATGCTCTTTGCGCTTGGAATAGTGTTCTTATGATCTTTAATGTGCTTTACATCACAGAATATTTTTCTTTATAACATAGAGGTATCAGTAACTTACATATAAACCAGACTTCTGCATTAGGAAGCATTTTTAATTTTAGAATTACTGTTGATAGGAAGGGATATTTTCATTAATGTTCATTTAAGTTATTTCTTCAGCTTGAGTATTTGATAATGCCAAGGTCCATTTCTAAGAGATTTAGAATCTCAGTTCTCCCATTTTCTAATGTGTTCATTCAAACCTTCTCAGAGTCCAAACTATGAAATAAACACCTTTCATTGTTCAAAATTTTACTTAATGTGCCAACTATATGGGACTATAAAATTTATAAGAAATACATCTTAATTCTTCTCAGTTTCCCTAATATCTAGAGCAGCGGTGTCAAACACACAGGTCTTGGTGAAAGTGTATTGGAAAACATTTAACAAAAAAAGATAAAACTGAACATAAATAATGTTAATGTGTAGTTTTCCAAGTCAATATGAGGGCAGTGCTGTCAGTGACCTGGTTTGACACTACTGCTCTAGAACCTTTCCTGTCAGCCCAGTAGTTAAGGGCAGTAAAGTAGTAAGATTTCTGTTTAAATCATTTGTTCCCTTTAAATTGGCTGTTTTATATTTACTCTTTCTTTGCTACTTACCTTGAGTTGTCATAATCTAGTTTTTTTGTAAGTAAACTAGTCTTCGTAATCCGGGTGATTCACGTCTGTTTGACTCTTACAGCCGGCATCCCTCGTTCAGTATTAAAGGACTGGCGTAAAGTGAAGAAGCTGAAGCAGACTGGCGAGTCCTTCCTGCAGGACGACTCCTGCTATGAGATAGGACCCAACTTGCAGAAGTGTAGAGAGTGCAGGCTGATTCGAAATAAGAAGGGGGAAGAGCCAACACACTCCCCAGTGTTCTGTAGATTTTACTACTTCCGGCGGTAAGTGAAAAATCATTGGGTAAAAATGGAAGTGCTGTGTTGGGGGAGGACGCAGGGAATCCTTGGACTGTTGTTATCTTATCTGTGGGATTTCCTTTTTTAGTAGCCTTTGCAGGACACAATTCAGCAACCTAGAATGGGTCACGTTGCAAAAGCAAAAAAAGAAGAGACAGTGCTGAGCTGAAAAAATAGTTAGACGTAGTACATGAAGTAGATGCTTTTCTCAGCAGTAGCTTTTTAAAATGCTGTTTTCCCTTCATGTGTGAGAGAATGGCTTTCTGGCGGGTGTTGATTAAATGGTTTAAAATTATTTTAATACTTTGTAGTAGAAGTCACGATGATCTTTAATTTGGGTGTAAGCTAAAACCTCATGTAGTATCTATAAACCTGAGCAGGCAAAGTAATATTGAGAGCATATTCCAATGTATAGCATTGGGGAGGGGGGGGGGGGGGGGTTGTTTTTAATGTGCTCCACACTGGTAGCTCCTGAGGTGTGCCTTGAAATTGCACGTTCTTTGGTTCTAAAAGCAGCGGGTAAAGGACATTTTTATTAAAATGCTATCCAATCATTAATGAGCTCTAACTTACAGGTCTTTCCGAAGGGGTCAAGAAAACACTAATCTGATTGTTTTAGCCAAGCCTGACTATTTAGAACAGTGTGGAGGGTGTTTGGCTCAAGTGAATATACGGTGCTTAGAGAGTCTGAGCAACAAAAACGAAACGCAGGGCAGTGTAGAGGGAAGGGGAAGGGGAATCCAGGGGCGAGGAAGGTGGGGTTCATGGATGTGGAAAAGAGAAAGAAGAGGGAAAGCAGTTTGGTCATACGAAGAGAGAAAGTAGCAGGAAGGAAGCTGGAAAAAAAAATGGGGAAGTGGGAAAGAAAGTGAGATAAAGAACCCTTTTGATCATCTCCACTCTAGAGCATGACCTCCTGTTTCTCACTCTGAGTGTAAAGTCTGTCTTAGAGTTGAAAAGAGTAATGTATTTGTCATATGGAGGAAGAGGGTGGGTAGGTGAAAGACCCCAGAGTGAGAAAGGTCAGCGCTAGTGTTCAACATTGTGAAAAGATACCTGTCTGTAGTTTAGCAAGGAAGAATGACTGCTATCACAGTTACAGGTTAATAAGATAAAGAAGAGCTTATTCAGAGCCAACCATAATTATCCAGAGCAGCATAGATATCAGAAGTAATAGAAAATAATCAAATTTAATTTCCAGAATCATCATTTTTGAGTGTAAGACTCGTTTTTGTTTTTTTTTTTCTAAACTAATTTGTGTAGTAGAAGTGTACATGAGGCTGTAACTTGTTAAATCTTTGGATGAAGGTTTTACATATAATGAAACCAAAGGAGATAGATAGATTACCACCCCATCAAATAGTACCACTGGTGTGTTATATGGCTAGCAATCTTTGACTCTTCCTAAACCCTTTGACTCAGAATGGCCCCCTGCTGAGGCAAACACCCTTTCCTCCAGACACCGCCTCCCCTTATTTCCCTGTCCCTTGGCCCCGTTATTCCTATTCACTTCTAGCCTGCTCTGGCTTCCGTCACGTCCTCTACAATGAACGGTCCATTCTGTTGTTAACAAACTTCTCTTTCTTTGTCTTAGAAGATTCTTTCTGGCACTCCTTCCATCTTGCCTGGCTTTACTCAGAGGACCCTCCATCCTGTCCAGTACTCAGTACTTCTCTTTTGCTTCCCAGCAGAATGAGCCCGAAGAACAAGTTGGCATAACGAATCCCTTCTTATTCAGGGTCTGTCCTGTGTCACTATCACTCGGCAGCCTTTCCTCCTTGGAGGGTCACCTCTACTCTCCAGATTGCCCTCGCCTAAGATGGCACGTGTCTTCCGTCTGCTTCCATTTCTTTAACTGTAGAAAGGGGATTATCACAGCACTTGCCTCACAGGGCTGTCGGGAAGATAAAATGAGATTTTTATAAAGCACTTACACTGTGTTACTTTGTAAGTCTTTGTTCCGTTCTCTTCTTCTTTATCCACATTATTACTGCAGTCACCTGTCACCTCTCAGATCATTGCCACCTCTTTTAAAGACTTCCATATCTGTTCTTTCAGCGGATTGTCAGCTCCTGGAGGGCCCACCTGCTTCACTGTTGTCTTTATATCCCCATAGTAGATTTTAAAAGGACTTGTTAATTGATTTCTCAATTCCCCAACCACTGCCCTTTTACTTAGGGACTTAATTATACATGTTGATGTCCCCTTCAGCACCCTGGCCTTCCAGTTAACCAGCCTGCCAGTTCCAGTGACTTATACTGCGTTTTTGCTTCAAACAGAAATGGATCGACTTTTGGTTTCATCATCATGCATAAATGGGTGTGTGTGTGTGTGTGTGTGTGTGTGTTTATTTAGTATTTTTATTTTTCCCCAATTACATGTAAAAACAGTTTTTAACCTTCAGTTTTAAGACTTTGAGTTCCAAATTCTCTCCCTTCCTCTCTCCCCAACCCGCCTCATTGAGAAGGTAAGCAGTTTGATATAGATTATACATGTGTAGTCATGCAAAACATTTCCATAATGGTCATACTGTGAAAGAAAACATAGACTAACAATTAAAAACTCAAGAAAAATAAAGGGAAAAAAAGCGCTTCAATCTGTGTTCAGGCACCATCAGTTCTTTGTCTGGGGATGGATCGCATTTTTCATCATAAGTCCTTCAGAGTTGTCTTGGATCATTGTATTTCTGAGAAGAGCTATGTTCTCATTCATAGCTGATCATCTTACATTATTGCTGTTACTTTGTGCACAGTACATTTCACTTTGCATCAGCCCATGCAAGTCTTTCTGGCTTCACCCATAATTGTTTAACCTCCATGGTCCAGTACTAAGAAATCCTCTCTAATCTCAACCACCTATCTTCTCTCTCCCACTGCTTCTGTCCTTCTATACTTACTCTATATCTTTAGCATGACCTTGTTCTCCTACTTCATCATTCCTCCTTTGGCTTCACTTTCCTCACTCTGTAGTCTTAATCCTATAATTCATATCATTTCAGCCACATACTACCTTCTCCCCTTAAATCCTTTGTATCTTTGTTCTCTTGCTCCTCATGTTTTAGCCCTGGCCTGCTCACTGCAGAAGAACGTCATCCAGTTGCTGTCTCCGTTACAGATGTATAATCTGATCACACCTGGGCTTGAACTCTTCATAGCAACGTTCTTATTCTCTGATTGATTTTCTGTTAAACTCCCCACAGAAGTTATTCGTCATGCTCTCTCCTCAACTCTCATACAGTATGCCCTCTGAATAGAAATAAAAGGCCTCTCCATGTCATCCTCAACAAAAAAGAGCTGCTCTTCTCCTGAAGGCCATCCACTCTACTTGCGCCTGTCACTTACTATCTCCTTCTGGATCTCTTCCTTCAGTCATCATCCTCAGTTTTCATTCATCCTCTTCTTATGTACTGCTGCCTTCTCTGCTGCCCACAAACACATCTGCCTTTACTGTCCTCTCTTCTCTACGACTCCCTTACTTCTGACCCCACCGCTCTGCTCAGACTGCTTGCTCCAAAGAGACAAGACCTCCCCATAAGCAGAGGACTGGCCCTGATGGCAGGAAGACGTGGATTCCAATCCCACACCAGGCACTCACTCTTGGGACACTGCAGAAAACACCGATTTTTTTTCTTGGCTCGACAGACTGGAAGATTCCTTCTGGTTCTAAGTCTGGTCCAAGGACTCTCTCCCACATCCTGTACTCTTTTTCTTCCAGCAGCCTTTGTGGTTGTGCTCCGTGTTATTGTCTCCCACTTACCTGTTTGACCAGATGATGGAGAGTAGTGTGAAGTGACTGTGGAAAAAGTAGCTTGAAGTCAGATTGGGAAGGGTTTTAAATGCTAAACACAGCAGGCTGTATGTTGTTCTCGAGGTGAAAAAAAGCCACTGCAACTTGCTAGATCGCCTTCCATGTCTTGCCCATACACTGCGAGCGCCTTCAGGGTTCTGTTTCTGGACCCATTAGCATGTCTGTGACCTCATTGCTGCCTTGAATTCAGTCATCCCTAAGCAGATAACTGCCAAATCTGCCTTTCCAGCGCCCGGGTCTCCCCTCAGCTCCAATTGTGTATCACCAGCTACTTGTTGGACATTACCTGGGTGTCCCTTGGACCCCTGAAACTCACAATATCTGAAATAGAGCTTGTCATTTCGTGGTCTCCCCCCATTCTTTTCATTGAGGGCACCACCATCCTTTCAGTCGCCCTAGTTTCCAACATCAAAGAAAGTCTTGAATCTTTACTCTCTCTGCCTTCCTCCCCTTCTCTCATTATCCAGTCATTTGCCAAAGTCTTGTCAATTCTGCTTCCGTAACGTCTCTTGCGTTTATCCGCTTCTCGCTCACATAGGCACCACCCATGTTCAAGCATTCTACTTGGGCTCCCTTCTTCCAATCTCTCCTCTATCTAAATGATACTCCTAAAGCACAGGTCTGACTGTGGCATTTCTCTGCACAAAATGGTGGCTTCCTCTTGCTTCTGGGATAAGATGCAGACTTCTGTGTTTAGCATTTAAACACATTGCAATCTGACTTGCAGCTGCTTTTCTAGACTTATTTCATGCTACTGTCCATCATGTGTTCTTAAAAGGTTGGCATTCCATCTCCCTTTTCTGGACCTTTGCCCAGACAGCCTCCTCAATCTGGAATGCAGACCTCCTTCGGTTCCTTCGAGGTTCACCTTAGATGCCATCTCTAAGCAGAAGCCTTTCCTGAGACTTCCTTTGGGTAGTGCTCTTTCCTTCTGAGTTTTGTCTCGTGTTGACTTGTGGCTCTGCATGTTACATCCTCGGGTCAACAGAACGCTTCCAGTAGCTACTGCTTTTCCTTTTTTCTTTGTATCTCCAGTGTCCTATACATAGGAAGCATTTAACAAGTGCTTATTAAATGGAACTGAATGTCAACTCTGGAATTCCTGAATTAGTTCATTTGCTCTAAACATCATTTCACCAACAATTAGCTTTTTCTAAACTGTCAAGTTGGCATAGTTTTCATTCTATCTTTAGGACAATTTTAAGGGCGATTTGGTCTGTGCCGTGTAGAATAAAAGCATTTCTTGTAATGGGCTAAAATTGGTGGCATTTGTATTTTGCTCTGATAATATAGAAACATTTTGAGGTCATTTCCCGCTTGCAAAGTGAATGATTCTGTAACACGCAATTCATGTAAACTGAACATACTGGTTACATTGTGTTTTTTCCCCACTTTTTTACTTCTATGAAAGATAAACCAAATTAGTTGTAGTCTTCTGTTTCCCTTTTAAATTACATAAAAACGTTTTTTCTTATTCCCTCAACCTAACCGTTTTGTTATGATTTGTTTCAGATTGTCATTCAGTAAGAACGGAGTGGTTAGAATAGACGGCTTCTCATCTCCTGACCAGTATGATGACGAAGCCCTGAGTCTATGGACCCATGAGCGTTACGATGACGACGAGCTAGACTTGGAGACTTCTAAATACATCTTGGGTATTATAGGCGATAAGTTTTGCCAGTTAGTAACATCAGAGAAAACAGCTTTGTCCTGGGTGAAAAAAGACGGTAAGGATATTTGATACATTTAAAAGTTGTGTTAATTGTGTTTGTTATAGTTTCCAGGAATTTGCTCTTCCTCATTGGCTTTCTGTTCTTTATAGGGATGTGCCCGTAAATCTTGTCTCATCGCGTTTTTCACTTGGGGCAATGCCATTGCCTCATAAGCTTATATTTATATGTTTCTAGTAGGCTTTATGGGCAGTGAGCTGGCGCAGCACATAGAGCGCTGGGCCTGGAGTCAGACTCATCTTCCTCAGTGCACATCTGGTCTCAGATGACCCTGGGCAAGTCACGTCATGCTCTGCCTCAGTTTCCTCATCTGTAAAATAAGCTGGAGGAGGAAATGGCAAACTCCTTCCCCCAGATGGGGTTAGATTCGACTCCAACGACTGAACAGCAGGGTGCTCTGTTGGTTCCTTATGAGGTTGAATGTATGCTGGATTTACAGTTCATGAAGTCATAATATTATTTGGTTACAATGTAGAATTGCAGGATTATGCTTCTAACATCATTGCTGTTTCTGTCTATAGCTTGCTTGGTATATATTTGTTTGTTTGTGAGTTCATTGAAGGCAGGCACTGCCTTTTGCCTCTTTTTGTATGCCTAGTACTTAGCACAGTGCCTGGCACATAGTAGACATTTAGTAAATGTTTACTGTTGGATTGAAGTGAGCAGTATGAATTACATTGTGCATACATTTGTCTGATAGAGAAATAATTGTTCTAAATAATTAGGTAATGGAATGTAATGGAAGATATGAAATATTTTGCCTCATGTATGATTATGAATATTCCTGTAAAGAATTGATAACTTGTAGAAATTTGTGATTGGTCTTCATTAGCTTTATCCATCAGTTCTGCATTATATCACACAGATGTTTGCCTTTCGATTTCTATACTTTCATTCTGTTTATTCTGCATTTCAGCCAAAATTGCCTGGAAAAGAGCGGTGAGAGGCGTCCGTGAGATGTGTGATGCATGTGAAGCCACATTGTTTAATATTCATTGGGTCTGCCAAAAATGTGGATTTGTGGTCTGCTTAGATTGTTATAAAGCAAAGGAAAGGAAGCGTTCAAGAGGTCAGTTTATAACATGAACTTGTATGGATTCTTAACTTTTTTTGTGCCATAGACCCCTCAGGCAATCAATCTGGTGAGGCTGATGGTCTTCAGACTCATGTTTTTAAATTAATAAAATAAAATATGTAGAATTACAAAAGAAACCAGTTACTTTCAAGTAAAGATGTCATGTTTTTTTCCCCTCCAAGTTCATGGAGTCCCTGAAATCTATCCATGGACCCCACCAAGTTAAGAACCCTTGACCTAGAGTGTCATGCACAATTTTACTCTAATATGTTTTAGAATTGCTGACAGAGAAAGGCAAGTAGGTTTTTCTTATCATGAGTACATGTAGTCTTGCATATATGAAGATGGACATAGAGCAATTTTCAAACTCTTGTTTTTCTGCCTTTAATTATAATATCTTTCTCCATTGAGGAAAGCAGGATTGTCACCTTTTCAGAAACTTATTATCCACACAACCTTAATAAGAGCTAGTGGCTTTAAAAAAAAAAAAGTATTCTATCTTTGTACCTGATTTGTACCAGATAATTTCTGGTGTGACTTCATTATAGGCTGAGCCTTTTTTCTAGCAAATAGCAACCTTTGAGTGACTGACTTATTGGTACTGTTTAATTACAGAATTAAAGGCATGTCTAGTCAGAATTCAGTATGAGCTGTACTTTATGAAAGCTAAGTTGAGGAGTGTTTACCAGAAAGAGTATAATGACTACTGTCATTAATCTCTCTGCTCCATACTTTCTTAATTTTAGTAGAATGTTCAAATGAACCTTGAAATCTGGAGGAAGTTTTGAGGAAATGGGTTGTATAGTGCTAACCTCACCAAAGTAAATCGTGATTTAGAATTATCTTGCCTGTTGTTATATTTGGAGGTGCCTCAGATAGTGAAAGAAACTCAGAATGAAGTTTAACTGTTAATATTCATATGTTGAAATAAGGCAGGGAAATTTAATAAGAACTTAATGTTTAAATAGGAAAAGATTAACCTAGGAAACGTGGAAGGCCTAGAATTAGGAACCTTGAAATCTTGGGCTGTGTATTTTGGAAAAAGATAGTAGGATCATAAATCTAGAGCTGGAAGGGCACTCACAGGCCATATATTTCCAGTCTCACTTTACTAGGAGGAAACTGAGGCTCAGAGAAGTTAAGCAGTTACCCCAAGGTCGCAGTGACAGAGCTGGGGTCTGTGGGCAGACTCTTCAGATCCCAGATCCAAGTCTTGTTTTCATGCCAGTGAGGTGAAACGGTTCTTTGTGATTGGCATGTTCACCTTTAAAGACAACATCTGTGGGGCAGCTAGAGGCCACAGTGGATAGAGCACCCGCCCTGGAGTCAGGAGGACCAAAGTTCAAATCCAGCCTCAGACACTTGACACTCACTAGCTGTGTGACTCTGGGCGAGTCACTTAACCCCATTTGCCTCACCCAAAATAAGAAAGAAAACATTTCCGCATTTTCTGGCTGGTATGTTTTGGTGGGTGCAAGACAACATAGCTGTCATTGAAACAGCTGCTCCAGGTGACGTGGCTACTCCCAGGCTTTGGAAGGGTTCAGACTGAAGGGGCTGTTACAGACAGCAAGCAGACGGACTCAGTGAAGCCTCATGGGAAGCTAGACTTCTGATGCCAAGGCAAAAGTGTCCAGTTGTTTGTCCAGAGCTTTTTTCTGATGTCCTTGTTAAGTGATTGCAATCGCAAAAGGCTAGCAGGGTAGTCACGTCAGCCATGGGAAAAGGTTTTTGGCCGCTGAGAGTTTCATCCCACTCCTTATTATGATGGTCACCTTTGAAAACGTGGAAATATTTTTTGCATGACTTCATTTGTATAATGGCTAATATATTGTTTGCAGTGGGTGGGAGAGGGGCAAGATGGAGGGGAGAATTTGGAACTCAAAATCGTTTAAAAAAAAAAAAGAATCTTAAAAGAAAATGACAGTTGCCCTAATAATATTATGAGTACACTTTTTCTCACCTGACCGTATAGGCTTCTTACTTTCATAATGATTGATACTTGATTATTTTGATAAAATTTGTCAGTGTCATGGGCCTCCCCAGTAAGAAGGGTCAGTATGTCAAAGGTCAGTATGTCGATTTGGCTAAGGAGCCATTGAGTATTATAAGGTCATAAGAATTTGAGGTATATTTAAAGTTAGCATGTGTCTTCGCAAAAATTACAACATTTTACACTGTCCATAGGGATTTGATGGAGTTAGGAAAATAATTAGATGACAGCAATAAGTCATTTTCTTTAAATCTCAGTAAGTGATATTGATTAAAGTCATACTAACTCAGAACTCTGGAAAATAATTTATCTTTGGAAGAATTTTTTGTTGGACTCAGCTCGTGCCATGGATGTACTACATCGGCCCCATGCTTTACCTTAGCTGGACTAACTCCTGGCACATTACCTGGTTTGGTGAAAAGGTTGGTACCAAGCCACCGGGACAGGTGATAGCCATCTCCGTGGCTGTTTCCTTATCAGTTTCACTGGTCATTTGAAATAATGTTTAACTTTGTCGACTGATGTTTGTAACAGCCCCCCAAAGCCACTTCACTGACCTTTGCTCACCTGGGGGAGTGGGAGGAGGAATGATTGGAGCAGTGAGTGGAAACAGCAATGGATCTGAAGTCAGTGGAGCCTAGGCTTGGGTCCTGGCTCCTTTACTTACATGTGACTTTGGGTTGCTCACTGTGTCTCTCCAGGCCTCAAACTTCTCATCTATAAAATAAAGTGTTGGACTGGATTCTCTCTCAGTTTCCTTTCAGCTCTAAATTCTATGACAATAGTGTACGTGAACTTATTCATGACCCCAAATTAAATGCTGAAAATGAGGGGAATGTCAAAAGGGAGATGCTGAGACAGCATAAGGAAAGTAGAAGGCACACATGTTACCTTGGTGTTATAAGCATTGTCATTTAGGTATGCCTCTCACTTTATATTTTATCATCACTATGTTTTGGGAACTCACAGACATAGGAGAAATGCATCTAAAACATTCAAGAACCTAGCATTCGTGTTTAGGGGACATTTTGGATCCCTTTTATGTGCTTCCCAAGATAAACTGTAATTAAATAGCCATGTTTGAAAATAAAGTAGAAATTATGTTGTCTTCTAGATAAAGAGCTCTATGCTTGGATGAAATGTGTCAAGGGACAACCTCATGACCACAAACACTTGATGCCGACTCAGATCATACCAGGCTCTGGTAAGGAAAAAATATCCACTGGTTAAAACTGTAATCAGCTCTTTTAGTCACATGTTAATTACCCTGTATTTAGTGGCAGAATAGAATGGAGAGTTCAATGTAGTAAATATTTATTAAGTGCCTACTATGTGCAAAGGACCAGTGGAGATAACAGGTTTAGATAAGGTACAGTTAAAGTCTGTCAGAAAGATAAGACTCAGGTGTAAGTAATCCTGACATATAGTCAGTGCCTAAGAAAGATGAAAATAAGGGTTTTGTGAGGTTCAGGGAGTGGGTATTCACTTCCAACTAGAAGGATCACAGAAAGCTTCCTTTGATCCAGGTCATAGCCATTTATTATTCCTTAAGGTAGATCTGGAGCTGAGCTTTAGAAAGAAAGACTAGGCAAGGGGCTGGCCAGAAAAGCATCAGGGTGCTGAGAAATCCAGTTTACCTGGAGCAAAGAGAACATGGTGTAGACTGCTGAGGAACTCAGAAGGCATCAGACTTAAGTGCAAGTTACAGGAGTTTGGACTTAGAGAAAACAGGACTGGGTGATAAGAGCAGATGTTGGTGGAAAAGGAAAATGTGTTTGAAAGGAGTATCTGGGCTAGGTTAGAGAGACAAAAGCAAAGCATGAAGACCATTGTAGAGCTCTGGGGACCCCGGGGCCGGGGGCGGGGGGGGTGGAGGATGGGAGGGCTGAGGTGGGAGGGTGAGGAGGGTGGTGCTTCAGACTTGAGAAGTCAGGAAAAAGGAAGAGGCAAAGACATCAGCCAAGTTCTGAACATGGAGTGCAGAGTAAAGTGTTGTAACAGGGACAGAAGGAAAAGCCACTTGGGAGGCATCTGGGAGAGGACACTGTCAAGGCTGGAGAGAGTGCATTAAGACCGTGTTACCATTTGCGATGTCTTTCCCCTCTCCCATTGCGCAGCAGGAGAGACCTAATGCAAAAAGACAAAGGGGCCCAGATCTAAATGTAAAGAGTAGTTTTTAGAGTAGCTCTTAAAGTCCTAAGAATAGGTAATAATTCTTTTCTTTTGTGACTGCTTTGTTTTGAAGTTTTGACAGATCTTCTCGATGCGATGCACAATCTTAGAGAAAAATTCGATATTCGGTCTGATTGCGTTTGTACTGACAAGCAAAATGTACAAGTTGAGACAATTGCGGCAATGAATGGAGTGCCTCAGGTGAGCCAAATGTCTTTAATTATTAAAATTCGTTATTTAGATGAATCAGCTCTCATAGTTTCAATCCCATATTTATGACAGTGCTTTGTTGATTTGTGAGGCATTTTTCTAAATTATTAGGTAAGAAAATGTAGCCACTAATGTTTAACTTGTTTATAGAATTTGAGATGATATATTTTTAAAATTAATTATTCTGCCCTATAGGTTTTGCAAAATGTTCATGATGACAATAACACAGTTTCTCTGTGCATGCCTGAGTCTCAGCAGCAGAATTCCCCTCAAAAGTCTGAGACTAATGGTAATACCAGCCCCAGGAGTGATGTAAGCACAGACAGCAAGTTAACTCCTCCGGAATCCCAGTCCCCGCTACACTGGCTAGCAGATCTTGCTGAACAAAAAGCCAGAGAAGAAAAGAAAGGTAATTACACTTAATTATATTGTGTGTGAAGGAGGGTAGGGCATTTAACATTCATTTTCTAGAGTAATATACATTTGTCTTTTGTTAACATGATGTTTTGAATGTCAATATATTTCCTACTCAATATTTCCTACTCACTTAGGTTATAGATGCTTTCCTCTGGTGGCATTAATAGTGGTTCAAGACTCATTTGTAATTGCGTGTGCCTGAAGGACTACCAGTGGATCACATCTGTGACCTCCCCCTCCCACACTCACACACACACACACACACACACACACACACACACACACACACACACATCACAGCCATTTAGTGGTAGCCCCTTTGATCACAAACTCAAACTGAGTCTGAGATGTTGGCCAGTCTTTTCATGTTCAGACTGTTGGCATCCCTTCTGGGGTATTTTCAGGGGAATAAAAACCCTAGTGCTAACACCACATTACCCCCACCATGAAATGAGGGGCACCAGTTTTAGTGATACTTGCACATGATGTTGTAATTATATTAAAAAGCTTGCAAAATATTTGGATTTCAGAAAACACGGAATGTCCCCTTGGAAAACATATAAAAGAAGAAAGTGATCAAGATATTCCTGATTCTCCAGACTGCAAAACTCCCCCTGCTGTGTCCCAGAACAATGAACAAGGGTCCACCTTACGGGACTTGCTGACTACAACGGCAGGCAAGCTGCGTGTCGGCTCTACGGATGCAGGCATTGCCTTTGCGCCGGTATATTCTACAGGAGCCCCAGTGAGTTGGTTGCTAGATGACTTAGCATTTTTCAAGGCCTTCAGAATTGAATTGAGTTTTGCCAGCTGAACTACACTCACAGCGTTTCTGTAAAGGCCATTCCTATTTTGTGTTGTGCATCACATCTTGTTTTAACTTGAGAACACTTAAAACTGCATTTTGTAGAACCTTCCAGTTAGTGAAGTATCAGAAGTTCCTTTTTAATTATGTGCCCAAAAAAGGATGCAGTTAGAGACTGCTTATAATTATCTAATTGCCATTGAGCACTAATTGTTCTAAATATATTTTAAAATATCTTTTCTTCTTTCAAGAATAACATTTTAAAGAAAATGCTTTGATGTACATTGTATTTTGTTTTTATTTTTTAATCTACAGAGTGGCCAAAGTGAAAGGACTGTGCCAAACATTCTTGATGACATCATTGCTTCGGTTGTTGAAAACAAGATTCCACCACATAAAGCCTCCAAGATAGAAGAAGAAGAAGACGACGACGATGAAGAAGTAGAAATCATAAAAGTAATAGAAGGAAGAGGAAAAGGAGGAGTAGGAGGAGGAGACCGAGATCGAGATCCCGAAGATGGCCAGCCAGCTGCTATGGACGAGAGTGATCAACTATCAGAGGGTGTGCCACACTCGTGGATGTGTGAGAAACACGTCTTGTGGCTTCAAGATCACAAGAATCTTGATAATTGGAAGCTTTTCAAACAGTGCTGGAAACAAGGACAGGTAAGTGTTTTTAGCAAGGCAAATACTTGCCCAAAAACTGCTTTGTGAAGGCATGTTGGCCTGTATCCGGGTGTCAGGCAGCCTTGACTCATCAACTTACATCTATCAGTCAGAAAGTGTTAGAAGACAGTTACACTTTCTGGTTAGTTACCTGTGACCAGATTTATGTGAATTAGGGTCAGAACATTGATTTATATGATTTCAGTAACAGAATAAGTTTTGACCAGTCAGTGAATAGATTTTGTATAGTTGTAGCATCTGAGGCAACATGATAAAGTAGAAAGAGGACGTGACCTGGGCTCAGAGAATGAGGGTTCTGCTCATTAGCACCTTCATGACTGAGCAGTTCATCCGCCTCTGGCATGCTCTTGTTGGTAAAGTAGCCTCAGCCCACTTCCAGCTCTCGATCTATGATTCTCCTTGTTCCCTAAGCCAGATGTTTTCTTATAATCCAGCTCCACACCTCCTGTGTCTGACTCCTCCAGTTCATTTTCTGCCCAGCTGTTACAGCATTCTTATTTTAAATGCAGCAGTTTTGACCGTTCCCTCCCTCGGTCAGAAACTGGTTGTGACTTCCCCCATTGCCTACAGGACCTGGCGTAAACTCCTTATTCTGAAGGTCTAGCCCCCCTTTCAAGGCACTACCCACCTTCGTGTATGTTTGACCATAAGACACTTAACATTCTTGGATACCCACTGCACTTTTTTCTCTGCCCGAATATTTTTTCATTGGTTGCCCTGTCTCTGATGCCTTCTTCCAGAATTCTGCATATTAACGCCATACATAGCATGCCAGTGACCAGCTTGTACACCAGCTCTTCCAGAAATCATCTCTCCATTCTCTGCACTTTTATGGTGCTTTGTATCTCTCGTGATATTCCCACCAATGTCTTATGTTATTGTTGTTTGTGTCCATGTCTCCTTATTTCCCCTACTAGATTGTAAATTGTTCTTTAAGGTCAGCTCTCATATCTCCGCTCCTTCCCATGCCCCTGGATGATGGCAGAGAGGCTTGTCTAGCTCAATGAAACTATGAGCTATGCGGTGCAGGGAAGGTCATAGTGAAGAGTTTTGACAAGAGGTAATCCACTAGAGAAGGAAATGGCAAACCACTCCAGTATCTTTGCCAAGAAAACCCATGGCCAGTAATAAAATGATAACAGAGATGACCCTAAATGTGCCTCCAACTCTACCCTAACACCCTAAAATTTGCACCTCCAACTTTATCAAGGAAAGATAAAAAGGTTTTCTTAAATGAGCAATGCAAAGAAATAGAAGAAAACAATAGAATGGGAAAGACAGATGTCTTCAAGAAAATTAGAAACAGTGGGGGGAACATTTCAGAAACGGGCATGATAAACTGTTAGGCACTTACCAGAAGTAGAAGAGGTGGCAGGAACACACAGGAGAACTACACAGGAAAAATCTTAACATCACCAAGAACCACGATGATGTGGTTACTGATCGAGAGCCGGGTATCCTGGAGAATGAAGTCAAGTGGGCCTTAGGAAGCATTGCTGACAGGAAGGTTGGGAGAGGTGACAGAATTTGCACTGAGCTGTTTAAAATCCTGAAAGATGATACTATTAAAGTACTGCACTTCAATATGCTGGCAAATTTGGAAACTTCGATAGTAGCCACAGAAAAAGATCACTTTACATCCTAGTCCTAAAAAGGGCAATGCCAAGGTATGTTCGTGTTACCGAGCAACCGCATTCATTCCACATGCCAGCAAGGTTCTGCTTAAGACTCTGCAGGCTAGGCTTCAGCAATATGCGTACCGAGAATTGCCAGAAGAGTGGACTGGTTTTTGAAGAGGCAGAGGAACTAAAGACCAAATTACCAACATTTGCCGGATTACAGGGAAAGCAAGAGAGTTCCAGAAAGCCATCTCCTTCTGCTTCGTTCACTACAGTAAAGCCTTTGACTGTGTGGATCACAAAATGTGACAAGTCCTCAGAGATGTGGAAGTGCCAGGTCATCTTACCTGTCTCCTGAGCAGCCTGTAATGTGGTTCAAAAAGCGAGTTAGACCCAAACAAATGAACTTAAACCGTTGGTTCAAGATTGGAAAAGGAGTATGACAAGACGGTATGTTGTCGCCTTATTTACTTAACTTACATGCACTGTACATCGTGTAAAATGCCAGGCTGAATAAATCAAAAGCTGGAATTAAGGTTGCTAGGAGAAATGTCAGCGCTCTCAGGTATGCAGACAGTACCTCTCTGGTGGCAGAAAGCGAAGAGGAAATTAAGAAGCCCCGTAATGTGGGTGAAAGAGGAGAGTGTAAAAGCTGACTTGAAGTTTATAAGGAAAAACTAAGATGGCAACTGGTCCTACTACTTCCTGACAAATAGAGGGTGAAGAGATGGAAGCAGCATCAGACTTTTAATTCTTGGGCTCAAAGATCACTACAGATGGTAACTGCAGCCATGAAAGTAAAAGACACTTGCTCCTGGAAGGAAAGCTAGGGCATATCTGGACTGCATACTAAAAAACAAGAGACATCACCTTGTGAAAGTTGGACTGTAAGAAAATCCAAAGCACTGCAGAAGCAATGCTTTGGAGTTGTGATGCCAGGGAAGACTTTTGAGTTTCTTGGACAGCAAGGAGATCAAATCAGTCAACATCTAAAGAAATTAATTCAGGCTATTCACTGGAAGGTCAGATGCTGAAGCTTACTTTGGCCACGTAATGAGAAAATGGAATTTGTTGGAAAAGAACCTGATGTTAGGAAAGATTGAAGGCAAAAGGAAAAGGGGATGGCAGAGAATGAGATGGTTAGATAGCATCATGGAAACAATGAAAATGAACTTGGACGGACTCCGAGAGATAGTGGAGGATGGAAGGATCTAGCATGCTATGATCTACGGGGTCAAAAAGAGTCAGACGAAACTGAATGAGTGAACTCCAGCAACAGTTATGTCTCCAGCAGTTTTACGTCACCTCACATACTACCTAGCCTCATGATACTTTACATACAGCAAATTTTCACTAATTTTTTAAAATTAAATCAATAAACTTTTTTAAAATTATTGCATTGTTCAAGCCTTTTAATACTTCATGGAAAACATTGGTTGGACTATTTTGAGAACTCTTTTAAGTACAAATTTTACATGGTTCTGACTAGTTAATTACCTTGCTTTTTTCCCCCCAGGCCTTAATAACTGAAATGAAGTGAAGTTGGGTGGGAGTTAGAGAAGAAAATAACCTGTTTCATAAACTCTTGTTGTATTGTTGTCATTCAGTAGCTGGACCTGATTACCACTTTGTGACAAAATGTCTGTCTTGATTTTTATGTAGATAAGTTATGTTAGCCCTAGGAATGACATTGAGAGGAGAATTTGGGGGGGGCGGAGCCAAGATGGCAGAGTAAAAGCAGTGACTTGCTTGAACTCTCCCCCAAACCCCTCCAAATACCTGTAAAATATGGCTCTAAACAAATTGTAAAGCAACAGAACCCACGAAAAGACAGAGTGAAACAAATTTCCAGCCCAAGACAACCTGGATGGTTGATTGGAAAGGTATATTGTGCCGGGCGGGGAGAGGAGTGCATTTCAGTGTGGGTACGCAGGCAAACCAGACCTCAGAGAACTGAATCACAGGCAGCTGTGACAGTTTCTAGACTTCTGAACCCACAAATGCCAAAGAGAACTTAGAAGGTCAGTAGGAAAAGTCTGTGACCACAGTGAGAGAGAAGCTTGGTCGCAGCCCCAGGACAGCAACTGCTTCCAGAGCTTCCCGGTCCACAGACAGAGGGGGAATTGAGTGACTGATTAGAGGGGGATTGCAGGGATCTCTTTGCTGGCACTGAGGTAGGATTCTCTTGCTTGGCCCATGCTTGGATGTGGGTTGCAGTTCTGGGTGGTGGACCTGGGGCGAGGAAGAGCATTGGCATGGTGGAGCTTGTGGGTGGCGGTGGAGAGGGAATCCTCGTCACAGTTCCAAGACAGAAAAGAGTGCTTGTGGTCACTCATGGATCAGAGCACAGGACAGTAAGGGAGTAAACACCTCGCCCCTAATCATAGCACCTTGGAAGAAATGAAAATGTACAAGTCCCTAGAAGTATCTCTGAAAACAGCTACACAAAACCCCTGAAGCTTGGGACAGTACATTTTCCACACTGGAAGCAGACTCCTACCTTAACAAAGAGTTTAAAAATTGAGTTTTAAACTCAAGTAATTGGTTGGGATCATGAGCAAACAGCACAGAAAAAGTCAAACCATGGAATCTTTCATTGGTGACAAAGAAGATCAAAACATACAACCAGAAGACAACAAAGTCAAAGGTCCTACATGCAAAGCCTCCAAGTAAAATATGAATTGGTCCCAGGCCATGGAAGAGCTCAAAAAAGGATTTTGAGAGGCAAGTAAGAGAAGTAGAGGAAAAACTGGGAAGAGAAATGAGAGTGATGCAAGAAAATCATGAAAAACAAGTCAACAGCTTGCTAAAGGAGACCCAAAAAAATACTGAAGAAAATAACACCTTAAAAAATAACCTAACCCAAATGGCAAAAGAGGTCCAAAAAGCCGATGAGGAGAAGAATGCCCTAAAAAGCAGAATTGGCCAAATGGAAAAGGAAGTCCAAAAGCTCACTGAAGAAAATGCTTTTTTTTTTGGCTAGGCAGTGGGATTAAGTCTCTTGCCCAGGGTCACACAGCTAGTAAGTGTTATGTGTCTGAGGCCAGATTTGAACTCAGGTCCTCTTGACTCCAGGGCTGGTGCTCTATAAGAAAATATTTCTTAAAAATTAGAATGGAACAATTGGAAGCTAGTGACTTTATGAGAAATCAAGATATTGTAAAACAAAACCAAAAAAATGAAAAAATAGAAGACAATGTGAAATATCTCATTGGAAAAACAACTGACCTGGAAAATAGATCCAGGAGAGAGAATTTAAAAATTATTGGACTGTCTGAAAGCCATGATCAAAAAAAGAGCCTAGACATCATCTTTCAAGAATGATCAAGGAAAACTGCCCTGATATTTTAGAACCAGAGGGCAAAATAGAAATTGAAAGAATCCACTGATCACCTCCTGAAAGAGATCCCCAAAGGAAAATTCCTAGGAATATTGTAGCCAAATTCCAGAGTTCCCAGCTCAAGGAGAAAATATTGCAAGCAGCCAGAAAGAAACAATTCAAGTATTAGGGAAACACAATCAGGATGACACAAGATTTAGCAGCTTCTACATTAAAGGATCAGAGGGCTTGAAATATGATATTCCAGAGGACAAAAGAGAAAGGATTACAACCAAGAATCACCTACCCAGCAAAACTGAATATAATCCTTCAGGGGAAAAATGGACATTCAGTCAAATAGAGGACTTTCAAGCATTCTTGATGAAAAGACCAGAGCTGAATAGAAAATTTGACTTTCAAATATAAGACTCAAGAGAAACATGAAGAGGTAAATAGGAAAGAGAAATCATAAGGGACTTATTAAGGTTAAACTGTTTACATTCCTGCACGGAAAGATGATATTTGTAACTCATGAGACCTTTGTCAGCATTAGGGTAGTTGGAGGCAAAAAATTATATGTGTGTATATATAGATAGATAAATAGGGGGCACAGGGTGAGTTGAAGATGAAGGGATGATATCTGAAGAATAAAATTAAAGGGTGAGAGAGGATTATACTGAGAGAAGGTGAAAGGGAGAGGTAGAATGGGGTAAATTATCTCACATAAAATAGACAAGAAAAGGCTTTTATAGTGGAGGGGAAATGGAGACAGTTGAGAGGGAATGAGTGAATCTTATTCTCATTGGATTTGGCTTAAGGAGGGAATAACATAAACACTCAATTGGGTATGGAAATCTGTGTTATCCTACAGGAAAATAGGAGGGGAAGGGGACAAGAAAGCAGGGGTATGATAGAGGGGAGGGCAGATTTGGGGGAAAGGATAATTGGAAGCAAACACTTGTATGGAGGGATAGGGTCAAAAGAGAGAATAGAATAAATGGGGGGCAGGATAGGATGAAGGGAAATATACTTAGTTTTTCACAACAGGACTACAGTGGAAGTGTTTTGCATGACTACACATGTTTAACCTGTATTGAGTTGCTTGCCTTCTGAGTGGGTGAGGAGGGAGGAAGGGAGAAAATTTGGAACCCAAAGTTTTAAAAACAAATATCAAAAAATTGTTTTCACATGCAACTGGGAAATAAAATATCTAGACAGTGAGATATAGAAATCTGTCCTGCCCTACAGGAAAATTGAAGGGAAAGGGGATAAGAGAAGGGGCGAGGAAATAGAAGGGAGGGCACATTAGGGGAAGGGGTCTTCATAATGCACGCCATCTTGGGGTGGAGGGAGGGATAAGATGGGGAGAAGAAAGTTTGGAACTCAAAATCTTGTGGAAGTAAATGTTGAAAACTAAAAATTAATTTAAAAAATTCAGTTAATTCATTTCTAGGATTTAGTCTCTTATTATGTGGTAGCATAGTTAAATGAGGGAATTTTTGTTTTGAGATATCTTTCATGAGCAATAAACTCTAAAGATTTCATATCTTATAGAGAATCACATCTAATTGTTATTGTTCAGTCGTATCTGACTCTTTGTGATCCTGTGTTGGTGTTTTCTTGGCAAAGATAGTAGAGTGGTTTACCATTTCCTTCTCCAGCTCATCTTAGAGATGAGGAAAATGAGACAAACAGGGTTAGGTGACTTGCCCAGAGTCACACAACTAACTACTAAGTAACTGAAGCCAGATTTGAACTCAGGAAGATGAGTCTCTCTGATTCCAGGCCCAGAGCTCTGTGCACTATGGCGCCACCTACTGGCCCAGTCATATCTAAACTGTTTATCTGTTAGCAACACAGTTAACCAGTTTCAGAAACTGAATGTTCAAGTAGATTTAGTCTTTAACTAAAAGTTAGGATGTCCTGTCTTTGTGTGAGTGTTCTCTCCCTCTCTCTCTTCATAGTCTTATTGAGAAGGGGAAAGGTGTGGAGGGGATTATTTTGGCTAATCTCAACGTGGGAAAAAGCTGAACTTTGGTCCAGTGGTTGGTTTTCAGCAAGAGGATACTTCCTGCCACCTGCTTCTCTTGCTTGTTTCCCTTCTTCACAATACCTCCTGTTTATTTTGTATGTACTTCCTTACACAGTTGTCTCTAGCTACAAAATAAAAGCTCTTTGAGGGCCGGGGAATGATTCATTTTTATGTTTGTATCTTCATTAGTTAGCGTAGTCCCTGGCACGTTGGTGCATAATGAATGTTTGTTGCTTAACTAACTGATTGAAGTTGGATATTCCATATTATTCAAGATTTGGCTTTTAGAACCTTTATGTTGTTAGAATAAACCCTTACTCTTGTGGTTATTTATGGAGGTGAGAAGTTTTAATCATTATCCTGTATGTAAAGATAAAGAAAGCAGTGAATGTTTATTAAGTCCCTTCTCTTTACTGAGTGCTCTTCTTAGGTACTAGGGCAGACCCATATCCTTACTTTTAGGTGAGACATAAACATTTTTAGGAAAGGGGAGAAAGGTAAGAAACAGGAGCTATTTTCTCAATTTTAGAGTATCTTTGGTAGATACACTTGGAAAATGCAGGTCAAAAAGTACTGAGCAGTTGTGAGTAAGATTTAGTTATGAATTGTGTATTTCAGCTGATGTCTTAAGTTCTCCTTGGTTCTAAACTTTTTTTTTTTTTTTTCCTAAACAAGCCTGTGGTGGTTTCTGGTGTCCACAAGAAAATGAACATCAGCTTGTGGAAAGCAGAGTCAATTAGTCTTGATTTTGGAGACCACCAGGCAGATCTCCTGAATTGCAAAGACAGCATTATTTCAAATGCCAACGTTAAGGAGTTCTGGGATGGTTTTGAAGACATTTCAAGTATGTGGTTTCTCACTTCTTTGTTATTGTTGTTGTTCTTAAATATAACTTCAAAAGTAAAAAATTGTTCATTAGTGATATTTCTAGAAGGCAGTTAAGCTTTGTGACATATAGATTGAAACAGTGTTGTCTACAAAATGAGGACTTAGGTCTGAGTTCTAATCCTGACTACACCTTTTAGCTATGTCATCTCTTAAGCAAATCATTTAAGTACTTTCTGCCTCAGTTTCTCATTTATCATTTTGAAGTGATATTAAAAACCATTTCTTTAGTCAAATGAAGTAGTGGAAGCAAAATATTTTGGAGAGTAAAAATCACTTTTAAAAATGTATAACATAATTATTCGTAATAAAAGGCTTAAAGAAATCCTCCTGAAGAGAATTTGGGATTTCACACTTTATGGAATCATAAAGGCATAATTCATTGTGTTGTAGCATCATAGAAAATTAGGAATCCTAATACTCAGCGAGCATTTGTGAATTCTTAACTGCACAGTACCATGCAATAATCAGAATAAAACTTTTGAATGAGCACTCTTTTCTGTTTCCTTCTACATTGTTGAAAAAGAAAAAGGCAATTCAGTTTATTTTTGATGATCACTGTATTCTTTACAGAACGGCAAAAAATAAAAAGTGGAGAAACGGTTGTTTTAAAATTGAAAGACTGCCCTTCAGGAGAAGACTTCAAAACCATGATGCCAGCAAGGTATTATGTGAAATGAAGCTTGTTTTTTTGATGGTTAGTGGTAACATTGGGGTTGACTTCCAGGTGGAGGAGATACATCCCTGCTAATCAGGCATTTAGGAAAGAGGCAGCTTGTGGAATGCAAAGGCTCTGCCACGTTGGCCTTGGCTTGGGTTTAGGAGAAGCTCAGCAGAGCTCCTGATCCCTGAAGCCCCCCGCCCGGGAGCAGGCCTTATTTTCCTGTTTCTTCCACTCCCTTGTTGTGCTTTTCTACTGCCGTAATTTGGGGGAGAAGGTGATTAAGAATCCAGTTGATGTGAGTCTGAATCAGAGATCATCCAGGAAAGCTGTCTTGGATCCCTTCTCCTGCTCCCTCTGGGCTTTACCACTTCACTTGCGTGTTACCCTCAGACCCCATCAGAGTTAGGGGAAGAGGTGGAGTTCTTTGCCCCTGGGGCTTGTTGTGGAAGTTGGAAGAGTTAAGATTGAAAGCACTTTGAACAACTTAAATTCCCCAAAAAACTCCAAGTGTTATACTATTCCAGATATGAAGATCTGTTTAGAAGCCTGCCATTACCAGAATATTGTAATCCTGAAGGAAAATTCAATTTGGCCTCCCATTTGCCAGGATTTTTTGTTCGTCCAGACCTAGGACCCAGATTGTGTAGTGCATATGGTGAGTAGCCCTCACTACCAGAAATAGCAGTGGAACTTTTACACAGATACGTGGCTAAATCCTCTGATGGTTTCCCTTTAATGTTACGATGTTATAAATATCTTTGTTACTCTGTGGCCTTTCCAAACGTTTCTTAGCATATCCCCCATTTTGTTGTATTCCTCATTAATTCAGTATGAAAGTTAGAAAACAAGTGCTTCACTTGTGAGTTTTTTCCATACTTAGGAATTTGTTACTTGTATAACCCATTAAGAGAAATGATTTAATGTCATAAATAATATACTATGACCAAATATAATGGAGAAAAAGCCCAGTGTGTGGAGTAAAATAATAAAGAATAAACTATAATAAAATAACTTTTTAAAATTGTCAAATGTTCACAAACTTTGAAAATTTCAACCTTTTGTTTTATGCCATATTCCTTCATGTGCAGGTTGAATTAGTTAGACCCAATGCAAAAATAATTTCGTCACTGTGAACTGGAATTGGGGGATTCTGTATTAATAAATGAGTGGAGGGATGAGAGTTTAATGTATATTCACAAAAATTCAAATCTTATTCCAAACACAGGTGTGGCTGCTGCTAAGGATCACGATATTGGAACAACAAATCTCCACATTGAAGTTTCTGATGTTGTAAACATTCTGGTTTATGTTGGCGTAGCAAAAGGAAATGGAGTGCTCTCAAAATCAGGTACAGAAACCTTCCTTGAAAACAACCCAGGTTGTTATGGCCAATTGTTGAATGACCACCCATGTTATTACCTATTGATAATAGGAAATATTGACACCTATAGCACTTGAAGGTTTAACATATGTTTAAATATGTTTAACATATGTTTAAATACTTTCTCTCATTTGGTCCTGATACCAACAATAGAAGGCAGTGCATTAACCTCATTGTACAGATTAGGATACAAAGTGATTTGCCCCTATTCTCACAGCCAGTCAGTGTCAGGTAGAGGTAGGACTTGAACCCAGGCCTCTCCTACTTCTAAGCCCAGTACTTTTTCCTCTGTACTACACAGACTTTCTGTTTCTTTTCATCCACCAAAACCCAGCTTCTGGAATATCAGTGATGATTGCAGAGAATACTTGTCAGGTAGGGACATCTTCACACTTAAAGGACCATAATCATCAAACGATCAGATGATGTTTGTCCTTTCTTTTAGTTCCTTTTAACGCCACTAGCATTTCCATTGGTCATTTAAGGAACTGAGAAATATAGTAGTCTTTCTAATGAATTCCTCAGATTGGCCCCTTCCCCCATGATTTTTATGTTTCCTGATTTGTTGCTTGAAAGCATGAGTAAAACATTACGTGAAGGATACATAAAGAGACCATGTTTCTCTTGGCAGCCAGGTGGTATTTTTTCTAAATATCGTGATGGGACAGGAAGGAGCTTTGGCTTACGTGTGGAGAGATCTAGGCTTTCATCCTGACTCTGCCTCGGACAGATCGTTTAATCTACTGCAACTTAGGTTGCAGTATGCCCTTCTAACCTTCAATTATGACATCCCACGTTTTTAGTTAACCTGCAGAAATAAGATATCCACAAACTACGTGCCCAGCACAGTGACAGGGCCTGGGGTTACAGGAACAGAACTATCAGTCCCTGCTATCTAAGAGTTGGTCTTCTGTCAGGAGAGACAACATGGGAACTTAGTTGTATATGCCAAATCAGTAAAAGCTTGTCTGGGGCAGGAGGTCCTCAGGAAAGGCTTCGTGGAGGAGGTGCTGCCTGAGCTGAGTCTTAGAAGATGGAGGTAAGTCCTGCGTCTTCAGTAAGTGCAAAAGCATCATGGGCATGACATGTGTGAAGGACCCAAGAGAAGCCTTATTGGCCAGGTGGCCAGGTGCAGGAAGAGGAGTCATGGATGAAGAGGCTGGGGCCAGATCACGGAGGGGTTTAAAAACCAGAGGGGCTTCCATTTTGTTTTAGGGATTCCCAGGGGCCACTGGAATGAATTGAGTAGCTTTGGGAGCTCTGAGGGCAAGTGGTATGGGAAGAGACAAGCCACGGAAACCAGTTAGAAGGTCAGTGCAATGGTCCAGCAAGAGATCACGTATGGAAGGCTGTGCTAAGGTGGTGACTTGATGAGGAGTGAGGAGGGGGTGGGGTGAGAGATGCAGCGGAGGGACGAACAACAACATTTGGCAACTAAATGGATATGTGAGATGAGTGAAAATAAGGAGGTTGGGATGCTACCAGCCTTGTGAATCTGAACAATTGAGAAGGTAATGGCACCCTCAGCAGTAATGGGGAAATTCAGAAGGGGAAAGACTTTAGGAGGAAAGGGCAATGACTTCTGTTTTGGAAAAGCTGACTTTGAAATAACCAGCAGACAAGTTGACGATATGGGACTGGTGCTCATGATGGAGACTGAGACTGGCTATATTAAGTGAGTTATTTGAATAATGAAACCTGTAGTGTTATGAAGCCAAGAGAATCTGGGGAGAAAAGGGGCTTAAACAGAGCCTTGGGCTCCAACCACAGCTACAGGGTGGAATCAGCCAATGAAGGTAACTAAGAGGACCAGGACAGGAGGAGAGGGGGGGCATCCAAGGAGGTCAAAAAGAATGAAGACCAAGAAAAGACCGTCAGAGTGGGCTGTTAAGAGATCGTTGGTCGGTTTGGAGAGCGCAATTCCTATTGGCTGATGGAACTGGAAGCTAGATTGCAAAAAGTTCTGCGAGTGGAGTTGGGGGGGTGGCGGGGGCGGGGCAGTGAAAACAACACAGACAGGCAGCTCGTTCTAGAAGTTTGGCTGGGAGAAGGAGGAAAAATAGGGATGAAGGATTGTGGGGGGATAGTAGGGTCTATTTTGGTGACATTTATGCATGATCATAGGCAACTGAGAAGAAACTAGTCAATCACCAGATATGGCAAGAGGCAGGTGGGGGTATGTGGAGTGAAGGGAATGTATAGGACGGGTTGACCTGTGAGAAGGGCCACGTCATTATTGGAGCTTGGAGTAAAGAAAGATGGGGATGTTCTTGCCTCGTATTTAGAATTTATTCTAATTTGTGTAACAATGTGCAGAATCTTAAACCATACAATAAAAATAACAAGGTTTTTTATTAAAATGCCTACAGTTATAGTTGTAACAAAATATTAATCTTAATGTGGTGGGTAGGTTTGTTCTTAACATAAAGGTTTTCAAAACATAAGGTATCTTTGACAATATTCCCATTTATTTTTTCAGTCACTAAGCAAGATCAATATTCTCTTTTTATAACAGTTATAGTAGCAAACCCCATTTCAAATTAATAGGATGTTGGAAATGTTAATGTGTATTTCTTGGATAAGCCAAAGATTTCTTTATTAACCTTTAGCTTAAGCATTTTTAGTTTTCAAATTCAAACCTTTGTTTCAGTGTATTTTCATAAGACAAGTCCATTACCTGTTCTTACTCAGAGAAAATATATGATGTTATCCACAGCAAGTGAGTTCTTTTCCATTCATATTTAGAAATATCTAAGTCCCTAAAGGAAACAAGAATTGATTTTGTAGTATTAATAAGGTCTTTCCTTCTGTTTCATTTGCAGAACTGGTGTTTATTTAAAAAATTCTATTTTAACTATAATCTACAATTCTTTTTCATATATGTAATCACTTTCTATTTCTGAGTCAGGTATTAGTTTGGGGGCCTTTCAGTGATTTATTTAGAGAGATTTTTGAAAATATCCATCAAGTATGCATTTAGAGGAAGAATTCTCCACATTACTTTCAAAATTGTTCTGATTATCTGAACTTCCTTCTGACCTTGATTCTGTTATTTTCTATGTACTGTTTCTCATTTTACATTCTATGTTTTCAGTTAAGAAGCATTTATTTCCTCTCACCTCTCACACATACCATGATTTTTTTTAAAGGGAGGAAATGAAACCCCTTTAACAGATATATGTAGTCAAGCAAACAAGTTCCCACCTTGACAATGTCCAAAAACATCTCTCTGCATCTTTTAGTTCATATTCCACAGGTCAGGAGTAGGTAGCATGCTTCATCTTCTGTCCTCTGGAATCGTGGTGGGTGGAGCATTGTGTTGATGAGAATTCTTCAAATCTTTCAAAGTTGTTTGTTTTTATTATTGTGTATATATTGTTCTCTTGGTTCTACTCACCTCATTCTGCCTCACTTCATAAAAGCTTTCTCAGATGTCTCTGAGATCATCTTCTTTCTTATGGCACAGTGGTGTTCCTTTACCTTTGTAGACCGTCATTTATTGAACTCTTAACCAGTTGATGGGCACCCTCTTAATTTCAGTTCTTTGCCACCACAAAAAAGAGCTGCTGTAAAAACGTGTACATCTGGCTCCTCTTTGGGGTACAGGCCTAACAGTGGTAGAGCTGGGTCAAAGGACAGGTTGGTACCTTTAGGGGCACAACTCTCGAGGACTTTGCAGAGTTGTGCCCCTCTGCTTTCGCAGAATTCTGCAAAGAATTTCATGGAATGGGTTTGGTTTTTCTGACGTTCCTCCCCCAAGAAGTTGGCCAGTTTACAACAGGTTGAAAAGCGACAGCTCCTTACTATTTCTGAATAGTCTGATTCTCTGTGAAGCATGAGAGTAATCCAAATTATACAAGGGGTTACAGTTTTGAAGTCGTCCTTGTACACCTGCATTTAATCCAGCTCCTTATTAAATTCCGTTATGTTATCTCCCCAATTAGATTGTGAACTCCTTTAGTCGGGCCTTTTTGTGTTCTACTGTAGTGCAAGGCACATAAGAACTGTTAGTTAAGTCTTAGCTGCTTGAAGGAATAGAGGATTGGTGGCCTTGAGGTTTGTAGCTGTCAGTGAAGCCTGCCTCAGAACTCATACTTTTCCTTGTCAGAGTTTCTGGCCCACTGCCAGGGATGACAAAGAATGATTTTCATTCACTCCATCGGGGTTTAATCTAGATTAATTTATCACTTTTAATGTACGAGAGGGAAGAGTTCTGCTGTATTGTTTCCAAGTTGATATTTTAAAAAGAACAGAAGCCAGAGAGCATTAAAAGAGGAGGAGAAGTAGCCTAGGGATGTAACTGAGTCGCTTAAAGGGATTGGTTAAGAAAAGGAGACGGGAGAAAGCGCTTTTGCCTGCAGGCATCAGAAGGCTGTGATGTGGAGGAGGGATTCGACCTGGACTGCTTTGCCCAAGAGGCCGCCGGCACTAGTAGGGACAGGGGGCAGAGGGTGGAAAGGAGCCACATCTGGCTCACTGTAACACCTTGTCCGGCCGAGGCAGGGAAGCCACTTGTCTGTTACGGTAGGCTCCTTGTTCAGCCGTGGCTGGACCATCCTCCCCATCTCCCAGCTCACAACCTGGACCTCCTCATCAGCTCACTCTCTCACCCTTCCTTGCCAGTCCCACGGACACCCCTGCTCTGGAGCAGGCCCTTATCTCCTGGCTCCTGAACCATTGCGGTGGCGTTGGGAGGAAAGGGGGGCGGAGGTCTGCCAGCCTCCAGTCTGCACCCATCCCATTCCATTTCCCCTCTGCCACGGAGACCTCCCCCAGCACAGCTCCAACCCTGTCACCTTCTGTTTTTATTCAGCAGACTCCAGTGGCTCTCTGTCACTTGTGGGATTATCGCCTAGCCCCTTCTTAACCCTCACTGCCCAGCCCCCTTCAGCTGACTGTCCCCCTAGGCTGGAGTTCTCTCCCTCCTTGGTTTCACCTCCTGTCTGCCCTCAGATCCACATCCCCTC